GAAGATTCATTGAGGACAAGACCTATCCATCCGGGCTCTCTGAAACATCCCCCACCACCCCTGGGTTATCTTTTAGGCAGTTCTAACATTTATTCAGCACATCTCCATTTAGTGTAAGAATAAATCATCTTCAAATGAATTAATTAATCCCCAAGCCTCTGAGATGATTGTTAGCCCCACTAGCATCCTAACTGGGAAATGAATCAACCATTGTATCACCCAAATGTACAACTGCTACACATTGCTAGAATTTGAACAGCTAAGGTTTGGAGTAAGTCTTTTGTTTGGTGGTTAGGGTTTTCTCAGTTCTTTTCCGACACAGGTTGTGCTGGATCACTCATCAGATATCCGCGGAAAAAAACCCACACTGAAGGCTGTTTCCTGGCTCCTCTTTCTTCCTGACACATTCCAAGAAGCGATTTATGGGTGTTGGGAAGGACAAGGGGTGAGGAATTTCTAGAACATCTGAGAATGCCCATGTAAGCAGCTCCATGGTTGACTAACTATGCACAATAAAATTCTCTTCCCTGTAAGTGAGAAGAAGAATTTGGTGTAAGCTGCCTCATGTGTTTCCAACACAGTGTGGTAACAAATTCATCTGGATTTCTAAATGGTAGGAATCCTCTTTGTCCTCCTAAACAAAGATACTTCTCATCCTACCCAAGTCAACAAGATTAAAACATTCCATGAGATGCTAAAAATGAAGTCATGAGTAACTAATTCGGAAAGATGACTCTAGCCAGTTGGATAATTTTATTTATCTAGAAACAAAATTATTTTCTCTCCAGCTGTGACCAGGGCAAAATTCAAGGAGTGTGGATTCCTTCATGTAGCTATCATCTTTGTCCTGTAGCCATGTGCCTAAAAATAGCTGATAATTTATTCCATGCTGTTTTCCAAGGGCTACCTACCAAACAGCTCTCCTGGGGGAAGACTTGAAAGATTTGACAATTAGCCAAAGAACTCCAATTGGCGTGCAGGTGTCTTAACCAGCATCATAAACAATAAGCTAAGTTCCTGTCCCAATTGAATTAGAGTTTTAATAACCATGTATAGCTAGTACTTACAAAATGAACTCAAATTTGCTAACCTTTTCTCAATCCGATCTCATAGAAAGATGTTTATGGTGATACTTTAGTCAGGTTTGCATCAGAATCTGAGGCAGCCAACTTATTAAAGAGAAGCAATTGATTTGGCTGACAGTTTTGGAAATTCAGGTCTGATGTGGGACAGCCCAGTACTTTTGTCGTCTGGTAAAGGCAGAGGATGAGAGCAGTATGTCCAGGCAAGCAGTTCGATCTCAAGCAAAGAGAAAGAAAGCAAAGTTCCCTTCAATGACCTGAAGACTTCTCACCAGACCATATCCCCTAAAGGTTACACTCCAGTACTGGGACCCCAAACATTTAAAACACTTTGTGCCACATTTAACATCCAAACCATAGAATGCAGATTTTGTCCTCCATGAGACATAAACAGGGATAAAGACACATAGAAATCTCACTAAAAAGAATGTTACAATTCATGGTTATTCATTTGGCTTTAAAAGTTGATCCACACATGGATGATTCTGCATTAGGCATCTTTTCTGAGGCGGGCAGTAGAGCTTAGATATAATCCTTTGCCTGAGATATGAGACCAACATCTGTGTAAAGGCTATGCCTCTTCATGACACCCTTTGTCACATTCTCTCTCTCTCTCTCTCTCTCTCTCTCTCTCTCTTTCTCTCTCTCTCTCTCTCTCACACACACACACACACACACACACACACACACATACACACACAACTGCTGCTTAGTCTGTGATCTGGGGCCACAAAAAGTAGAATCAGCTTGCCCAGCATTTTTGCCTCGTAACGTTTCCTCAACCTTATTTATTCTCAACTACAGGAAGAGCATGCACAGATTCATCTGTATCCCTTCCTCCGACAATGTATTTTCCAGACCTTTCATTCCTGAACACATCCTGTAAACACAATAACCTGCCTGAACTATTTTAAGAGTCTTAGTGGAATAAATTACTTACCCTGAAATTCTAAACGCCATATTATCAGAACTTGATTCCTTATGTCTAACCTGATATCTCAAACTACAAATTCAACTAATATTCCTTAGCTCTATACTCATAGGAGACAAACCTACAAGTTGTCTGCTTGATAACACTTTATATTCTTAAAAATCATTACTCCACCTAGATCTTGTCCCTCTTTGGTGGAAATATTTACAGTTACAGCACATTCATCTTCATATAGCTTACCTACTCAGCCCTCAGTGATTCTGCACCTCTTTGATCTGGAACCAAGTTGTTGCCAAATTTAACATGGCATTCAAGAAGAAGGCCATGCTCAGGTGTCAGTATGCTATCTCACTAGGTTTTGTTCCTGAGGACACAACAAAATAGAAGCTACTATTTAATGAGTACTTACTGGAGCCTGACGCCACGGCCTGGGCTTTCTGTGCAAATCTGTATTCCTTAATTCTCTCTGAAATAAATTTTATTCCTAGTTTATAAATGAGATCATGGCCTAGAGAAGATAAGCACCTTGCCAAAGCTACAGGGCTAATGAACGGCATTCGAATCCAGGTGTGTCTAATTCCAAAGTCTAAGCACTTCCCACAATTCTGATGATACTATGGGTTTTCCCAAAATACGAAAGTACTCATTGACCTTCAGACCACTGTGAGTCAATGAAAATACACAACATCCAAGAATAATATATCCCCCAAAAACAGTGCAACATTGGCTGTATCAGTACCCATCTCTTAAATACACAGTGGAAATTCCTCAGCCCACCCCACATTCAGGTCATTATGCTCTAAACTCATTGCCTTGAAGCCTCAATCAACAGCTCAAATACCTTTTTAGATGGTAATTTTAGCCATTTAATAGCTCACAAAAATGTGTTGGGTTGCAGTCCAAAATCATTTCATGGAGTTTGGCCCATAGCCCTTCCTCAAAAAAGAAAAAAAGTAAATACATTAAAGCTCAGAACCAGTGAGAAGAAAAACTCTGTGAAGGCAAAGGGTGTTAAAGCAGTTATCCCAAAAGAGTATGCTTTCAATAAGTATTTGCCCAAGGAAACAGATGGGTCAAATTGATTCTAGAGAATGGTACATCTCAAGCTTTTCTCTTCATACTAATCTTCATTCTGTGGCTTTACCTACATTACAGACCCACAAACTCTTATTTAGAACACTAATTTGAATAAGAATAAGTGCTGAGAAAAGAACATTTCACTCTCCTAAACAAAGACAAAATGCCCTAAGTAGACACTACATGGAGAGCTGGTCAAATGCCAGTATGTAAACAACTGGAATGTGTAAACAATTGGGATGTGGGAAGGACATTCTTGATCAAATGTACAGTTGTTGTCTTCATCTGCAGACCCCTGCTCAGTTTGTGCAGACAAAGTGCTCAGTGCAACTTTCCCTGCCACTCTCCCTGTTCTGCCAAGCCTTTCTATCATTTTGAGCAACATGTAGATGTATTCCATCCCTGGGATATGATCTTGCTGGGGAAAAATGTTAGAAATCTTCTTGTAGGAGAAAAGATCTGAACACCGCAGCTAATAAGCATTAACACAGGTAACAAACAGAATATATGATAGAATAACAAAGGTATAGGGAAATGTTCCCTGCAGAAATGATGACTAAAGACCAAGTAATTTCTCAGTTACTTTAAAAATGATATTAAATTCTATTTCCTAACTAAAGAGGAGCACAAGTGACTTCACAAACATTGGGACTGTTCTCACATCAATCTATCTTTACTCAATAATTCATACCAATCACCTTCAACACCCTTGATTCTTCTGCTACCTGCCTGCACCCACAATTGACTAACCAAGAGACAGCTGAGTAAGATGGCTTTAGCAGAATGAGAAGTGCTTCACAGTATTATGCTCCACCACATACTCTGTGTCCATCTGAACTTTCTTGTCATCTAAGGCCCAACTTAAATTCCACCCTTTTGGATAAGCCAAGACCTATCACTTTTTTTGACAATGAATTTCTTTCTCACATTTTATTCTGTACCACAGCATTCATCACTTATACTCGTCCTTGTCTTATTCTCTAAGCATGGAATCAATGAGCTCATATTCTTTTATTGTTATGTTCTCTGAGAGCAGACATTTGGACTTTATTTCTGCTACCCACAGAGCTTTGGTGACTGCTGTGGTCATCACAACACACAATCTGGCAGATCTTGTTGGTTGGAGAAAACTTGGGAGGCTCAAATAGAGCTTTTCTAAGTTATCTCTTGCCACAGATTTCACTGTGGACAACTCTTCCAGGAACACTCTTTAGCTCTTCTGAAAACTGGACTTTTGAAGCTTTGGGAACTAAATCAAAGAAGGGTTCTAGGGTGGAGAAAGATAGACTATTATGCTGACAGCCACATAACTAGTAAGAGTTCAGTTCAGTTTGGCTTCTGGAGTCCTTCATTTTAACCTCTGCCTCCTATGACAGAAGAGAATTGGCAGATGGTGTTAAAATCACTTTGAAGGATCAATGAGGGGCTGGAGTTATTATAGCCTTCATGTCATCTGAATGACTCATTCAGGAGCCTTATCTAGTAAATATTGATGAAATCAATGACCGCAAGAATGATTTGTTCTCACTTTCTCACTAATGTCACTCTGTAGCTCTGCCACTAGTTATTAGGATTTTCACCACATAGAAAAAGAAGTACTGCAAACTTGCCCAAGGGCCTAAGGTTAGAGCCAAGACACATTCCTAATTCTGTCCTGTGTCAGCGCCGAACCATTTCCTCCATATCTGCCATCTCTTTGGCTTTCCAGAAGTTTAATAGCGGTCAAAATCGCTTCTTTAAGAATGCAGGTTGTTTTGAGCCCATTTTATATTAGCACTAAGGTATATAAAGAATTAATATCAGGCAAACTTCAAGCACAGGAGATATAAAAGCAATATTCACTGTAATTGTGTTGATTCCAACAGTGACAGGTACTAATAAGTTTGTTCTTTCTTTTCATTTACTTTCAGAAGATAAATTTTTGAAAGATCAAGGACGACTGATTTGGATTCTGTCCTGTGCTTCAGATTCTAGAATTCTACTCAAGTGAGACGCCCTAAAAATCTTAAAACTCTAGCAACCCCCACCTCTGCCATGGGGGCCGTGACTTGGCTGCTTCCAGGCATTTTCCTGGCTTTGTTTGTCCTATCTACTGAAGGTGGTGTGCTCAAAAGAATCATCCGGCACAAACGACAGAGCGGAGTGAATGTTACCCTGCCAGAAGAGAATCAGCCAGTGGTGTTTAACCATGTCTACAATATCAAGCTGCCCGTGGGCTCCCAATGTTCAGTGGATCTAGAATCACCCAGTGGTGAGAAAGACCTCTCTCCACCACCTGAGCCCAGTGAAAGCTTCCAGGAACATACAGTAAATGGGGAAAACCAAATTGTCTTCACACATCGTATCAACATCCCCCGCAGGGCCTGTGGCTGTGCGGCTGCTCCTGATGTCAAGGAGCTCCTCAACAGGCTGGAGGAACTGGAAAGCCTGGTGTCGTCCCTGCGAGAGCAGTGCACCATGGGAGCCAGCTGCTGTCCCCAGGCTGCTGAAGGTACAAGCTGGTGGTTAATCTGATCTGTCACTGTGTGATGGGGAGACATGATGAGCATGGCCGGATACACCAGTTGCTTCCAAATCGTGTTTCCTGGGAAATTAACCTTATCAGGCGTTCATTACAAAGAGGTTTTATGATTAAATAAGTATGAATGATAGAATCACCTCTCTCCTGTTCAGGTAGAAGTTATGGTAGAAAATGTTTCTCGGGGGATGCTTAGGTCTTTGAAAACTACTGCCTTCAAAAAAACTTGTTTTATTCTAACTCTCAGAAATTTATTTAACCATGAATTCTAACCCAATGTCTACCCCAAACCCTACAAATGTACAATGAAACTCATGTCCTAAATGGCATTCTTGAAAAGCTACTGTTAAAATCTCATTATCATTTCATTGTACAAATAGGAAAGCTGACAAGGGGTCCCTCAAAGGTCCTGCAGTGCATAGCTGGACTTAAGTCACAATATTCCACATCTCAGCATTCTTCCAAATGTTCAGCATTATATGAGATGATACAGACTGTGTGGGCATTAAAAAAAACCTGTCCCAGTTTAATGGCTTGATGCTTATGATGATAATAGTGAATTAAGCATCATACACTGCAATTTTTATCTCATTTACTCTTCCCAGCAACCATTTGAAGAAGACTGAACAACCCTTTCTGTAGATCTAACAATTGAGACCCAAAGAAACTGAATTATGCCACAAGAAGGTACAGCACATAGTAAGGGATAGAGGCTTTGACTGTGTCCCTATGTTTTCAGAGTCTACACTATGCCACTAGTACTTTAAGTACTACTTTAATAAGAACTTTCTCTGCTTTCCAGTTGCATCTTTAAATCCATTCCATAAGGTTAATAGAACTACAGGCATTTTGACAGCTTTAAATCACAGATAAAAAAATCTCTATTTTGCTACTCAAAAAAGTTTATCAGGAGACACTTTGATAATTATTTCAATAACCAACTTAATCACTAAACATGGAATATGCATGATAGGACAACTTGCAGGTTTCTAAGAATTACGTGTGGCCAGCAGCCACCATAGTAGACCTGGATTCTAACTACCCACGTCTGTCATAATGCAGATAAATGTATTAACACGAGTGTATCCAGGTGCCGAGAATGTGGAAGCGAGCTGTATTTCATCTCTGTGGCCTCCCTGAAGATTATGCCACTTATTCTTACAAGTTGGGCCAAGACACTGCTTAGTCAGATCAGCTCTGACTCTGAATTCTTCAGATCAGCCCAGCATGTCTGCCTTCAAGAAACTTACAGGAAAACACTGAGGCACATGAGCGTTCTGCAGAAAAACAAAAAAAAAAAAGCTGAAACATGTCCTGAGCAAGTTAGAAAGTTTTAGTCATTAACTCACACTTGAGTCAACCTACCAAAAAAAAAAAAAACAAAAGATTTGGAAAAGGAAACAGAAAATTCCAAGGAATAAACGAGTTAGTTCTTAATGTCTTTATTTGTAAATCCCAGAGAACTTGACTCTTGATCCCCTTGACCAACAAGGAAACTGAGCTCCAAAGAGATTAGATAGTGTTATAAGCCATTGAGTCAGAGTAAGCATAAGTCAGTTCCACAGTTATTGCATGAGCATCTCTTAAATGCCCGTCCTTGACAGGATACCAGAGGAGCAGAAACCTAGCTGATCACTTTGCATGCCATAACACAGGGACTCGTAGTCCTTTGGGTCATGGGACTCCTTGAAGATGCAATTCATACTATGCAGCCTCTGCTCATGGCCACACACACACACGCATACCTTTGCACTCAAGCATACGATTTCAGAAAATACAGGTTAAGAACTCCTACCTGTTGTTGGACGTGAATCCATCAGATTACATACACTAAGGTGTTGATTTTCAATACAGGATGTGCCTCAATTTGGGTCTGAGTTTTGTGAATAGACACCAAAACAATTTGCCACTTGAATTTGGCTAAGAGCCTTTATTCTCTTCATTGCAGGCCGCCTGGACACCAGGCCCTTCTGCAGTGGCCGGGGCAACTTCAGCACTGAAGGATGTGGTTGTATTTGTGAACCTGGCTGGAAAGGACCCAATTGCTCTGAGCCTGAATGCCCAAACAACTGTCATCTTCAAGGCCAATGCCTCGACGGACAATGTGTCTGTGATGAGGGCTTCACTGGCGAGGACTGCAGTCAGCTGGCTTGTCCCAGTGACTGCAATGACCAAGGTCGGTGTGTGAACGGGGTCTGCATCTGCTTTGAAGGCTACACTGGCACTGACTGCAGCCAGGAGATCTGCCCAGTGCCCTGCAGCAAGGAGCACGGCACATGCGTGGATGGCCGGTGTGTATGCCAGGATGGCTTTGCTGGTGAAGACTGCAATGAGCCCCTGTGCCTCAACAACTGCTACAACCGAGGGCGGTGTGTGGAGAATGAGTGCGTGTGTGATGAGGGCTTTACAGGTGAAGACTGTAGTGAGCTCATCTGCCCCAATGACTGCTTTGACCGGGGCCGCTGTGTCAACGGCACCTGCTACTGTGAAGAAGGCTTCACTGGCGAAGACTGTGGCAAACTCACCTGTCCAAATGACTGCCATAACCAGGGCCGCTGTGAGGAAGGGCAGTGTGTATGCGATGATGGTTTTGCAGGTGCAGACTGCAGTGAGAAGAGATGCCCTGCTGATTGTCACAACCATGGCCGCTGCCTCAATGGGCGATGTGAGTGTGATGATGGGTTCACAGGTGCAGACTGTGGTGAACTCAAATGTCCTAATGGCTGCAGTGGCCGTGGCCGCTGCGTCAACGGGCAGTGTGTGTGTGATGAAGGCTACACCGGGGAGGACTGCAGCCAGCAACGGTGCCCCAGTGATTGTCACAACCGGGGCCGCTGTGTGCAAGGCAAATGCATATGTGAGCTGGGCTTCAGAGGCTATGATTGCAGTGACATGAGCTGCCCCAATGACTGTCACCAGCATGGGCGCTGTGTAAATGGCATGTGCGTCTGTGACGATGACTACACTGGAGAAGACTGCCGTGATCGCCGCTGCCCCAGGGACTGCAGCCACCGAGGTCGCTGTGTGGAGGGGCAGTGTGTGTGTGAAGATGGCTTCACTGGCCCCGACTGTGCAGAACTCTCCTGCCTGAATGACTGCCATGGCCAGGGACGCTGTGTGAATGGGCAATGCGTGTGCTACGAAGGTTTCATGGGCAAAGACTGCAAGGAACGAAGGTGTCCCAATGACTGTCATGGTCAGGGCCAATGTGAGGATGGCCAGTGCATCTGCCATGAGGGCTTCACAGGTGTGGATTGTGGGCAGCGTTCCTGCCCCAGTGACTGCAGCAACTTGGGCCAGTGTGTCTCTGGCAGGTGCATCTGCAATGAGGGCTACACCGGAGAAGATTGCTCGGAGGGTGAGTTTCCCTGTGCAAATTAGCATGATGATTGCTGCAGTGACGTATCTACATGGTGTGAGCTGGAGAGCTCTCTTTATCTATAATACAGCCTCTTTCAATATCTTAATATATTAGGGTAAATACACAAATATTAACTCTTGGAGGGAGAACTATTAATTCACTTGTGACAGAGTTTCCTGGTGAAGAGGCTCAGAAGGGTTGTGTCTTTGTCTCAGTGACACATAACTAATGCATCATAGAGCTGGTGTTTGTACATGCCTACATCTTCTACCTTGAAGTTAACATCAAAGTGCCCCGAAGTAGTAGATGAAGTAAAATTTTGTTTTTGCCCAACACTCACCTCCTTTCCTATTTGTTACTGACACTGAATTAATAGCAAATGAAATTCTTCTGTTGGGATGGAAGCAAACACTCAACTACATTGAATCAACAGTGACATTTCATAAAGTAAACTGATTTAAACGTGCACTCAGCTAAAGACTAAATTGTGATCACCTACAGGGTAAACCTGGCTCTAAAACTGTCTTCACATTACCATCTTAGTTCAAGCAATGAGAGCAGTATACCACGGGGCATGGTACAGAATAAGTGTTCAAGAATCATTACTTGAAAGGAAAGCACAACACAGAACAGTGACAGATGGATTTGCTGAGTGCCACCTTCTTTCTTCATGCTATTTGACACTATCTGAAGAATGTCTAACATTGACAGGCAGGAATAAAAAGATGCCTCTGTGTTGAAGATGGCACAGGAAAAAACAAACATGAGGCTGGCAGGGAGGAGCAGCAAGCTCCCAGACTTGATGAGGCATGCAAACTTGGGCAAGTACCTTTGCTTTTCTTGTATCCAGAAAACAAATGTTAAACCAGATGAACCTAAAATGCCCTGCCCGGACTACTGATGTATTACTCACAGTCCAGTGTGGGGAGCCAGGCCCTGACAGCACTTCACACATCAGTACAAAGTGAGACCTAACAAGAGGATAAGCTAGAGGAGCCACGGCAAAGATCACTGGGATCACTCCCTTGAACTGGAATTTCAGCATGAAGGTCATGAACAAATGGATGACCAACAGAGTAGCTAGATATGGGTCACAGAGTGCATCCTAGGGGGTTTCTGTAATTTGGAGATAATGAAAATTGTGAGCCCAAGGGGGGAACTTCAGATTTCTGTTGCTGACAGTAGAAAAGATACATCGAGAGGGGAAAAGATATGTTATTGACCCCAGTGCTCTTTCTTATTCTTGCCAGTATCCCCTCCTAAAGACCTGATCGTCACAGAAGTGACGGAAGAAACTGTCAACCTGGCCTGGGACAATGAGATGCGAGTCACAGAGTACCTCATCATGTACACACCCACACAAGCAGATGGCTTGGAAATGCAGTTCCGTGTGCCCGGGGACCAGACGTCCACCACCATCCAGGAGTTGGAGCCCGGGGTGGAGTACTTCATCCGCGTCTTTGCCATTCTGGAGAACAAGAGGAGCGTTCCCGTCAGTGCCAGGGTGGCCACCTGTGAGTCAGTGGTTCTCCTTGGAGACGCTTCACCTGTCCCACTGCGTTACCGTCCCTTTAAGTCACCACTTCACCTTCACCCCACAGTTCTCTAATTGTCCTGGGAGGATTGTGTCTGTTCAGATGCTTCTTGTAGAAATGCCTCATTCCCACCAGTTCTTTCCTTGCTTCCCTTTTATCCTTCCTATACTACAGGTAACACTTAATTATAAGTTTTTCTTCAACCCATTTTATTGATGAGGAAGATGAGATTTTGAATAGATAAGTGCCTCAACCCAATTCATAAAGTTCATACGTATAAAGATAAGATTTGGATCTTGGCAGTCCTGGCTGAGGCATGCTGTTTCTTTCTATGGAACTTGTACTAATTTTTTAAAGTAGAAATGTTAAGTTTCAAGTTGTTCTCTTAAAGAATAATGTAATCTTAATTATCTACAGATTTGAAAAGTAAGCTTTGGCTAGACACTGGCTCTGTCGTTGATTGAATGTATGTTGTGTATCAGGGACAGGGCTCTGCAGCCTACGTGCAGTGTGTCACTCAGAATTCAAGGCATTCCCAGAGGACAGGAAAATTTACCTCTTCCAAGGAGAAGAAACCAAGACTGAGGTCATTCTATGCAACTTTCCCAAGAGCACAATGCTTTCCATCATGTAACTCAGATTCCAGCCTGTCAAAGACTGTGTTTTAATCAGGCTTATTCCTAATGGTAGTTTTACTGCCTCACAGTAGAAAAAAAAATCCATAAGATGTTTTAAAACAGATTCCAGCCCTAGGCTTCAGCACCCGACTGACATCCAATCTGGCATCAGGGCTGTGTGGCCCCCACCAGGCATCCATCCCATCCTTATATTGTTTGTCCTGTCCCTTATAGACTTGCCTGCTCCTGAAGGCCTAAGATTCAAGTCTGTCAAGGAAACATCTGTGGAAGTGGAATGGGACCCTCTAGACATTGCTTTTGAAACATGGGAAATTATCTTCCGGAACATGGTAAGTAACACTAGGAAGTTAGTATAGCTAACTTCTGGAAAATAATACAGAATGCTGTAGACTTGGATACTTGATTTTCTTTACATCTTGTTTGCATCTATATTTTGAATCGTGTTGATTTTTCCTTAACTTCATGTCAGTAAGTGCAGTGATAAACATAACTAGGGTTCAATTACTCCTTCTAGCCTTGCAAATCTACTGAGAGGCAAAGAAGGGAAGAAATGGTACTTCTCTTGCCCAAAATGTCTCCAGGCATATCTTGCCCCACATCATATAATAAATGAAGAAGGGATTTGAACCCTGAGATTTTGGCAGAATTCTGCTCTTAAAGCCTGCACTGTGAGTAGAATTTGAGCACCCCTTCTCTGCAGGTGTAGAAGCACAAGTGAGACATAGAAAATAGTTTCTGAATTTAAGCCTGGGCTCTGTTACTAACACTCCACATGACCGTGAAACAATCTCAATCTCCCTGCTCTTCGGTTATTACCAAAAGAGGGCTGACCTGGGCTTTGGAATTCCTTGGACTCTCAAATTCTGTTGCTTGATTTGCACTTCAAAAAGAGGTTTATGAGAAGCAAAGCAAACTTGAGGAGCATCCTTACTAGGTCTGTATCCTCGGCAACTGACATTTTGATCTGCATATTATGTGCTTAATGAAAAACAAAATGAAAGAGTCAGAGAGGAACAGATAAGTGTAGACTGTCATGTGAGCGAAGGGGCTGGCACCTCCTCTAAGTCTTACTATCATGCCTGTATCTTGCAGAATAAAGAAGATGAGGAAGAAATCACCAAAAGCCTTAGGAGACCAGAGACCTCTTACCGGCAAACAGGTTTAGCTCCTGGGCAAGACTACGAGATTTCTCTGCACATCGTGAAAAACAATACCCGGGGCCCTGGCCTGAAGAGGGTAACCACCACCCGTGAGTATCAACATAAAGTCTCCACACTCCACAGCACCCTTGGTTGACAAAGTGTTCTGTGGCATATCATCTGTATCAATTAGCTTTAGTTGATTCTGAAGTTTGGGATGTGGAGCTGGGCTCCATGCAGCAATGTGTCTGTTCTTGACTGTGTTAACTCCTGAATCTGAGTGGGACTGGGGCCAGTTGGCTTAGTATAGCACAGGCTAGATTGGTTCTTCCTGTTTTACATGGTCAACCGTTCCCCAGGATGCTAGCCTGGGCCTGTTAGCAAGGCTACCAAGCAGGATGAAAACTGGCACTCCATCACTTCCATCAAAGCACGTCCCAAAGCCTTCACAGACATGAGGAGTGGGGAAACAGCCATCTTTTGATGAGAGGAGTTTCAAAATCACAAGGGACACGAAGACAAATAATTGAGGTCACTGCCAACTATCTCACATCATCTAATTTAATCCTCGATTAGAGCCATGCCAGATACAGGACAAAAAATGATGCTATTATATTTTGAGAGTAGAAACTAAGATTTAGAGAAGTTAAATCACCTTAACATCATTTAACTAATACTTTCAGAGCCACAAGTTTAAGCCAGGATTGGTTTATAACTGTTACCCCCTTATCACTAGCATTTAGTCTCTGGTTTACACAGAATATTGATTCCATATCTTCAACAAAACCTAAATAAAAATTCATAAAAGGGGCAAGATATGGGTAAAGATGTGGCTTATGATGCCCTACATCTCATATTTGAATTCCTGGTTCTGCTGATCCCAGAATCCTACTAATGCCCCCTGGGAGGCATCAGGCTGTTATTTAAGTAGCTGAGTCCATGCCATCTATGCAGGAGACCTGGGTTGCATTCCAGGTCCCCAGCTTTGGCCCGCTCCAGACCTGGCTATCGTGAGCATTTGAGAATTGAGCCAGCAAATGAGAAGGTCTCGATCTTTGTTTTAGTCTCTGTCTCTCTTTCCTTTTTCTTTACCTTCCTCCTATTACTCATTCCATCACTCCCTTTTACCTGCCTCCATCCTCCCATTACATATACATTGAATATGTTTACAATTGTATTCAGTACTAATCATATCAAATATTCTTGGAGCAGGATTCAGCATTATTAAGACCATTTGGTGGACAAAAATTCTGAATTTGGAACTCTTCTACCAGAAAGCAAACTTAAAAAAAATAAAAAACCTTTTGCATTAACATTCAGGAAAACTTCTGTTTATTTCAAGGTAGCATATGGGATAACTCTTTAAGAAATTAATTCTTCTTGGCAGGGCACTGTCGGAAAAGTTAAATCTGTTGACTCATGACACCAAAAAAAAAAAAAAAGCTTTAGATTTAAACATTTGCACACTTTGTCTAACTCAGAGCCAATTCATAGAGTCATCTCCTTCATAAGCAAGTGTTTTCCACCATCCTGACAACATCTCTCTGTGGTAGGTAACGGACAGGTAGCAACAGGAAAAATCATTAGATCACCAATAAGGCACAGGAATGATCAAGCCCATTGAAGTCAGCACAATGAAAATACAAAGGATGTTTCTTTCATCCCCCGTTTCTTTCTAATCTAAATTTAAGGATTGGCTGTTTTCTTTTCTTCTTATTGCAGGACAAACACCCCAACATTTGAAGTCTTATTATAAATACCAACAAGAGAGGGCAGATATTTACCTTTCCCTTGTGCTGGCATACCTGAGCTTTTTCCAGGTTTAGAGGGCCACAGGCTTCTGGTGCCAAGCATATGTGACCCTCCCTCTCTCTGATATCTGCGTCAAGGCTGAGCTATAACTATGATTGACACATGGATTCTTTTTTTAGATAAACTGACATATGAGGGCGAAAGTGTGATAAGTTTGGATTCAAGGAGTCCTGAATTGGAGTCCCATCCTCACCGCTTACTGTCACCTTGGAAAAGTCTGTTTCTTTATGTTTCAGGTCTAACATCTGAAAGATAGGCTTACAGCTTTACCTTTTTAAAGCTGTCTCAAGAATTAAGACATAAATAACCAAACAGGATATAAGTACAGGACTATGTTAGTCTTCATTACTGAGGAGCTCAAAATTGGCGTCTTTGATTGAATCTTCTTAATGAAAGGGGGACTAAGGAAGGGAGTAGGAATACTTTGGGTGCCTCCTGACAGCTGTAAAGGATGGGCATGTTCATTGTCAACTTGAAGCAGCATTATCACTGTGCATTGTGAGTTTATTATCATTGATGTACTAACACATAGATTTCAAAAATAAACTCTGTAGCTGCCTCATAGTCAACAATGAATTATTTCTCATTCTCTACATAAAACCAAATGTCTTTCATGTGATATTGTCTATTCAAAGAATGGCAGAAACATGAACTTAAGTATTTTTAGATGTAGAAGAAAGAAGGGAGTGTTTATACTTAGAATTAGTGCTTGGTATGTATACATAGTATGTTCCTGCTTTGACACTGTAGATTAAACAAGTTCCAAGATCCACTGTTGGAATGAATGAATCACGCCATCTAAACTGATTCACACTGTATATAGATCCATCAGAGAGCAAGGAGAAAAGAAAGACAATGAGATGTTCTTTAAGGATTGACTATTGCAGCCATAGGAAGCCAGTGTGTGCTTGCCTATTACTGAAGGCTAAAAAAGGTGGTCGGGAGGTGACATGCATGAGGGATTTTGAAGGGTGCATGCAGGATTTTAAGTGGGAGAAGGGTTGGGGTCAGGGAGAAGAAACAAAAGAGCTTGTACAAAAACCAGGAGGTGACACACCTACAGGGTATTCCCAGGCTCTGAGGAGCAGGCTGTCAGGGAAGGAAGGAGGTAGCTAGAGGATGGCAAGAGAAGCATATAAGGATAGGCAAGGCTTGGGGTGGCGACGAATTCTCATCAACAGTAGCCTGCCATGCACTATCCAGGCAATCTATTGCCTCGCATATGTGCTCCACGCTTCTGATAGAAAATTCATCCATCAAGCCAGTTGTTGATCAAGTAAGAAGCCCTCTGTGTCCCCACCATGTGAGAACAGAAACAAGAATAACATTCACAAGGGAAGGATGTCCCAGGCTCTGTGCTAGCTACAGCACAAGCCTTGTCTGCACTAGTATTTGAAACAAGGTAGAAATCGTAAAGGCAGCCGTCATTGTCACCACGTATAACGTCTCAAAGAAGAAACTGGGATTCAGAAAGGTCAAATGAGGTCAAGCTGTCAGCATCTTATCTACCTAAAGCAAGGTCCCTCCTCTGCACAGTTCTTGACATTGCCCCTGTCTCTATGTCTTCTGCCCGACACAGGCTTGGATGCACCCAGTCAGATTGAGGTGAAAGATGTCACAGACACCACAGCTCTGGTTACATGGTTCAAGCCTCTGGCTGAGATCGACAACATTGAACTCTCCTATGGCGTCAAAGACGTGCCAGGCGACCAGACCGTTATCGAGCTCACACACGATGAGAACCAGTACTCCATCGGGAATCTGAAGCCTGACACCGAATACGAAGTGTCTCTCATCTCTCGCAGGGGCGACATGTCTAGCAACCCGGCCAAAGAGACCTTCACAACAGGTAGCAGACTTTCCCCTGCTAACAGGTGCAGAAAACAAAGGATTGCAACCTTTCCATTTCCCTCCATGCGGGGTGTCACCCAGGCTCAGTTGACAAAGAAAAGTGGAGGGAAGAATTTCCACTCTTTAAATTTCAATTTGAAATACTGTAACAATCATTTACTTTTCAAAGAAACATAAATGTCCCCAAATAATATTTCAAAGTACTTTTTTTTTTTACATACACATGCAATGAGAGTCCCTCAGAAGGCTCATGGAAAAAAAAACTTAAAGATTTGGCCTAGCATTCAAGAGAACCCACGTCTTATATACAGGTGTCTGGGTTCAATTCCCAGCTGCACTGCCAATTTTAGCTTCCTTCAGGCATACCATAGGAGGCAGCAGGTGGTGGCTCAAATAGTTGGACTCTTTCTACAGCTATGGGAGGTTTGCATTGGGTTCCTGGCTCCTGATCAGTCTTTGCAGGGATCTGTGGAGCTCTCCCTGTCCGCCTTTTTCTCTCTCCTTCTTTCTATATTTTCCCCTCTCTTCCTTAAAATAAACCAAGTACACAAATAATATTTAAGATTGATTTATTTTTAAAAAGTGACAGATGGAGAGACATAAAGAGATCTCCTGTTCATTGGTTTGGATCCTGCACTCTCAAATGGCCAAAATGGCCAGGGTTGTGTGAGGCTGAAGCCAGGATCCAGGAACACCATTTGGGTTTTCCACATGGGTGGCAGGGACCCAAGTATGTAGACCCTCCTCTGCTGCTTTGCTAGGTGCTTCGGCAGGGACTGGGATCTGAAACAGAGTAATCAGTGCTCCAACATCGGATGTAGGTGTCACTAGAAGTGACCTAACTCACTAAGTCACAATGTCAGTCCCAAAATAAAGCATTGTATTTGGTACAAAAAATTTTGGGAAATATATAAATAGTCTTTCTGATAATATGCATTTTTGTGAACTTTCTGAATACCTTCATAGATATTAGTCTGATGTTATCAAACAAAAATTCTGATTAAAATAAATTTCAGAGAAACAAAATAAAATGTTAAATATATAAAAATGAATATTAAAGCAATTCTCTCAGCTCTTAGCTCCTGGTATTGTTTCAAAAGTATCAAGGTATTAATCCTTTATTGAACAAATAATTTTTTAAGTGCTCAGGAAGCATTGTGTGAGTTATTAGAAGCTGAAGCAAGGAGGCACAAAAAGACCAATTCTCACATTAGGAGCTTATTTTTAAATTTGATGTTGCTCTTCAAGCACAAAGACTGAGAAAACTACAAATGACTCAAGAATCTCCCAACTAATGAGAATTTTAAAAAAATCTGTGCAATCAGGGGTCAGCATTGTGCTGCAGGGTATTTAGCAATCACATCCCAACAGCAGTGTTGGCTTGCGTTTCAGCTGTTCTGCTTCGCATTCACTTCTTACTAACGTGCCTGTGAATGGAGTGGATGACGGTCCAAATGCTTGACCCCTGCTACCTCTGTTGGAGACCTAGATGAAATTCGCAGCTCCTGGCTTCAGCCCACCATCACTCAGGCCATTGCAGCCATTTGGAGAGTCCATATGTGAAGGACCTCTACCTCTCTAACCCTCTGCCTTTTGTGCATTGGCTATGGAGACTGAAAAAGTAGGAGCAGGAGTGATTTTGTCATTTCTGTCCAGTGGCAGGCTCCTTTCATAGCTTCCTCCTCTCCAGGTTTTCAGTGAAAAATATTGTTTCTTCTCTCCAACAGGCCTGGATGCTCCCAGGAATCTCCGACGTGTCTCCCAGACTGACAACAGTATCACCCTGGAATGGAGGAATGTCAAGGCAGCCATCGACAGCTACAGAATTAAGTATGCACCCATCTCGGGAGGTGACCATGCTGAGGCTGATGTCTCAAAGAGTCAAGGAGCCACAACCAAAACCACCCTCACAGGTGAGCTCCATTTTCTCCATGCAGCCAGCCCACGGGGCCTCAAAGGATGAACCTCTGCTCTCACATGCCCCTGTTTGGGACATGGTTGGTTCCCCCAACCATTTGGAGGGAGAAATGTCTTTCCATAGCATTTCCTCCTTAATCTGCAGCAAGTTCGCTTATAAAACACTCCAGACACTGAGAAGTTATAGCCTCCAGGGACAAGTTCGTTCAAGGCAGATTTTATGAGCCTCTTCAAGCTTTTTCAGCTTCAGGCTGCATCTCAACATGTACATTCTCTCTTAGGTCTGAGGCCAGGCACAGAATATGGGATTGGAGTCTCAGCCGTGAAGGAAGACAAGGAGAGCGATCCAGCGACCATCAATGCAGCCACAGGTAAGGCACATCTTGGATTTCCACATCATGGGGCTGTTGTTTGGCAGACCAACAGGGCTGATGAGGCAGACAATGAGCTAGAAGGAAAAGGCTGAAGCTCCAGGAAGAAAAGGACCTATAAATCTATCCCAGGTGTTTAAATTCAAAAGTCACATCAGCTCAGCCTTTCTACTGCTCTGTAACCAAAACACATCAGGCTTAGGGGGATTCTCTTTGAAAACACTGAGCTTGCATCAAGTAGCTTTAATGGAGCAGAAGCACAGCTCAATCTTGGCTTTTATCCATAGCATCCTGAAACTGCTGCCTCTGGATGGGGACAGAGAAGTACTACATAACTTGAAGCCATTGATTATTTGTTCAAGTATTATTTCTTTTGTGGAACATTGGTACTGAAAACAAAACAAAACTCCTTCCATCAGCCTCCACCTGAGCTCTCCAGGTCTCTATGAGCAAGGGAGGTTGATGTGCGAAAGAGGACACGGGTGCTGGTGCGTCAAGGTTCCACATTACACAGGCCTGTTGCTGGGACTCCCTCGCCTGTGATTGGCTTTATTCAGCTTTGGATTCTAAATTAGATTCGAAATTCCCTTGCAGCTATGACACATCATGCACATTCCTATGCCCTTTTCTGAGTTTTTCCCAAGGGATAGCATCTTTCATAAATGTGTAACAGTATCTCAGCTGGGAAGTACACTTTGTTCAGATTTTACCAATGCTACTTGCACCAATTAGTGTATGTGTGTGTGTGTGTGTGTGTGTGTGTGTGTGTGTGTGTAGTTCCATGCAATTTTATCAAACAATTAGCCGTGTGAATTCACTGCTATAGTTAAGATGCAGAATGTTCTGCCCCTGGCAGAAAAATCCCCTGCGCTACCCTTCAAAGCTACAGTTGCCTCGTTTCTCCTCTGCCTGGCATTCGCTAATCTGTTCATCTCTGTAACTTTGCCATTTCAAGAATGCTACACTGATGAAATCCTACGTGGAGTTGCCCATTCTGGCTACCATAACAAAAACACTCCAGACTTGCAGCTTTCCAACAGAAAAAATCAATTTTTCACAGTTCTAAAAACTGTAAAGCACAAGTCAAGACTCCAGCAAATGTTGTGCCTCGTCAGGGCTCCTTCCTGGTTCACAGGCAGCTGTGACTGCCCTAAGCCCTCCCTGGAAACTCTTCTTGGGGCACCAATCCCATTTGTGGGGTCTTCTAAGATCTGCACAACCAAATACCATCACATTGGGATTAGGTTACAGCACATACATTTTGGGATAAAAAAAAAAATACCCAGGCTATGACAACACAATGTGTGAACTGTTAAAATTGGCTTTTGTTTTCCTTCAATATAATTCTATTGACAACTCCAAGCTGTTTTTTGTGTCAATAATATATTTACATGAAATGCACTTAGCTAAGTAGTATTTTGTAATATAGATATAATTTCATTATTTTAATCTTCCAAAAGTCAGTAAGTTATAGTCATACATCACCTAAAGACAGAGATTTGTTCTAAGAAATGTATGGTGGGGTGATTTCACTATTATGGGACTATTATAGAATATCCTTAAAACAGTCCCTCAATATGGCCTCCCGGGGCAAGGCTTATATGTGTAAGGCTGCTGCCAACACAGCATAGCACAGTATTCGGTAAGTAGAGTACCCTCTACAATAATGATTAAAAGCATGAGATAGCAAACACTTAAGTAGCTTGGTAGCTTATGACCAATGACAAGAATTGTACCTTGAACATAATGCTATGTGCTGTGCCTTCCTGCACCTGGCAGTATGGTTTGTTTACAGCAAGGTCATTACCACAGACACAGGAAAAGTGTGCTATTCTCTGATCTGTCGACAGCTACAGGGTCACTGATCAATAACAATAATTCAGTTCCATTACATTCTTATGGGTGCACCATCCTATATGAATTCCATCGTTGATCAAATGTCATTACCCTATGCAAGACTGGAATGAACTATAAACAGATCATTTTTAAAAGGTGGAGACTGGGCCTGGCACGGTGGCCTAGTGGCTAGAGTCCTTGCCTTGCACATACCGGGATCCCACATGGGCAACCATTCATGTCCCTGTGGCCCTGCTTCCCATCCAGCTGCCTGCTTGTGGCCTGGGAAAGCTGTCAAGAACTGCCCAAACCCTTGGGAAAATATACTTGTGTGGGAGGCCTGAAAGAATCTCCATTCTCCTGGCTTTGGATCGGCTCAGCTCTGGCCATTGTGGCCACTGGTGTAAATCAGCAGATGGAAGATCTTCCTCACTGTATTGCCCTGCAGCCATACAGTCCCTATGGAGCAGACGTAGGAGCCTAGCCAGATGAGCTGTCAGTCCCAGAGGCAGCCCTGCCTTGTAGCCTAATGAATGTTCATTTCTGTTTTATTCAAAGACTTGGATGCCCCTAAGGATCTTCGCGTTACTGATACCGCAGACAACAGCCTGACCCTGTTCTGGAGGACACCAATGGCCAAGTTCGACCGTTATCGCCTCAACTACAGCTCCCCTACAGGTCAATCAGCAGAAGTGCAGCTCCCAAGGGACACCACTTCCTACCCCTTGACAGGGCTGCAACCAGGACAGGAATACACCATCCTCCTGACAGCTGAAAAAGGCAGACACAGGAGCAAGCCTGCACGGGTGAAGGCATCTACCGGTGAGTGAGTGCACCTGCGTCCCCTCCAAAGCCCCTGGGGTCCCCAAGTTTTGTGGCTCCTGTCAGCCATGTTATCCAAAAGGAAAACTGTGCTACCTCCTTCACCCACAAAGCCTTTAAATGCTACTTGGAAAGAGTTGGTTGTCTTCCATGAACATTAATTTTCCTCTTGCCAACTAATTCAGCAAATTTCCCCTTCTGGCAAATAATGATCTTCTTCCTAGGACAATTTGAGCACCAAGGTTTGTGTTTTCTGTTTTAACGTTTTTGTGTTTCTTAGAAAGTTCTAAATAGTTATTTCTCTTCATATTCAGTCTAACAATTTGGTTTACTTTTCATCTGGTTTCTTTTAGAGATGACAAGGAAATTGGTAACAATTCTCTCTTTTTTAAAAAAAGAATTTGCTTGTTTTCCATGAAATATGTCCATTCCAGTCCTATTGCTTTCCTCTAGGTTGTCTCTGAAAACTTCCATATGATCTTTGAGCCTCTGTGGTGCCCTTCTCATGTTTTTTCTTTTCTCTTAGTCCTTAAAAGGTTAACCCATTTGTTTTTCATGGTGACAGCTCAATCCTGACCTACAGTAACCCTTCCAGTTCATTTGTTCTGCTCACTGAACTTGCCATCATGTCTCCTCAGTTGTACATGGACAAGGCAAAGGGAAAAATAATGTCTCTCCTAAAAGGATAAAAATGCATTTAATACTTGTCACCAAATATTCAAGATATGTGTTGGAAAGGTTGACTATTCTGGGTTTGGCAAGTAATACTATTTTCTTTCACTAGAAAATATGTCTTAAAAACCTGTATACACTGAGCAGCAAGGACACGTGAGCAGTAATGGGTCCCCCAGACAGCACTGTCATTTTGTCTCCTGGACACCTGCCCATCGTCCTAGGGGAAGAGTAGATGTTAAGACTAGATCAGGCAGAACTCAACTGAGCAAAAGGAATGATTGGAGGCAGTAATGAGCAAGAAATAAAGGTATCACAGCGGAAATGTTGGCCCAGCTAAACTTAGTAAGCAGAAACATGTTGAAACAGTGGGCCTATTTGGAAATTCCCTAAAACAGTTGATGTCTGCAAACACCTTCACTTACACTGAACAGCACTCTCAAGTTAGTCAGTAAGCATGACAGAAGCTGGCTTCCTCTTTCACAAAGGAGATATAGAGCTGCTGGTTCAGGGATGGCACACCCGGTGATCAAAGACCCAGGCTCCTTTGCCTTTTCTGCTTCCATCTCAAAATCCTCTCAATGTCACAATATGGTTGCTGTAATACCGTCATGTTCCCAGCAACATGAGAGAGAAAGAAACAAAGGAAAAGGACTTGGAAGGATAAGTGCATCTCCCAGAGGAAACTTTCTAGAAACTTCGCCAATGGCCTCTCATATTTTACTGTTTGTTCTTAGCTGAAAGGAGGCTGGGAGTGACAGTGGTCTAGCTGAATGTGTTGCTGTCCATATAAAAGCATGAATGTCTATTAGCAAGAGAGAAATCTGACAAAGAGAAGCCTGCCAAGAGAACCTCAAGTCCAAACAGGTGGTCAGTTCTTGACTGCTTCCCACTCAGCTGTAAGATGATGCTTAAGGATACTCTGAAGGGGTAGTTTAACCTATTGTGGAGGGAACGGGGCAAAATAGAACCAATCTACAATAGAGATTTGACAGTCCCACCTTTATAAACATGAGCTTGTTATATGGTGCCGGGGAAAAACAAATGATTCAACAATACAAGAACAAGTCCTCCTCCCCTCCTTACCGCACCCACCCCCCCGCCCCAAACAAAGACAAAGTCCTGTTTTCAATCACCTTACTTTCTAGTTAGAGTCAAATTAGGACCTTTCTCCAGGAGGGAAGCCCCAGATTTCAGCAGCTGAAGGAAAGGAGCTCTTCCCAGCATACCACAGGCTACAATCCCTTTGCTTCAGACTGAAAACATAGTACTGACATCCCCAAACATAGTCATTTCATTACCCTGCCCCATATCTCCTTAATGCTGCTTCAAAGAAATCGTTTTCTATATTAAATGGCTTCCTTTATTACCAAATGCACCAAATCCTTTTATGGGCTAATCTGCTCATCACCTATAGAGTAGTTACCCCTGAGGTTTTATCTGCCAAAAATATATATATATATATATATATATATATATGTGAGAAAAAGTGAGGAAGACATTTCTTTACCTCTCTTGAGTTCTTTATCTCAAGGTTTTCCATATTCACTAAGTAAATACAGCGCTGTAACCATGCTGTAAGCTAACTTCTGGATTTAGTAGAGAAATGAAGACAGATCTGCGCTTTCAAGAAGTTCTTGTCTGGTTCACACAGAGACACATCAGTATGGCACTCCACTTGCTACGCATAAGTGACCACTGGGTGAAACCAGAGCGTGGGAGATGCTGGATCTGACTCCGGAGCATCAGAAAAGACTTCAAATTGGAAGAGGCTATTAGATAGGGAGGCAAGTAGGACTGTGTTGTAAATATGTAAAGTAGAAGCCCAGACACAGCAGCCATTTGGCTAAATGTCCTGAAATGCCGGTAGCAGATTGAACCCTGAGAAGAATGGAACTCTGAGCATTTTATCATCAGCATCTTAATAGCAGAGCCTACAAGGCTCCAGCCATCCTTTGTATATTTAATGAAAAAGATGTGGCATTTTGGGACCTATCTTTTATTTTTTCCCTTAAGAGTTTCCAGTATATAGCCATGGTATCAGATCAGCATGACAACTGTTTCCTTGCTGCAGCATTAGATTAATAGTATGCATGACCTGGCCACCACCACTCAATCACCATTGGACTCAGGCTCAAAGATTACGGAGTGGTGGGTGGGCTACACAGTGTAGGGGAAAAATAAGTACCCACCTCTCTAACTACTCTTGGCTTTTCTCTTTCCTCTCTTTCTCCCTCCCTCTGCCCAGTATTTGTATTCTGATTCATCCAATGAAACACTGCTTAAAGTAAAAGTAGTGAATGTCCTGTGACCAACAGGGTTTATAAAGCACGGGAGACAGGAGAAACACAAGCACAGCAGAGCATCTTTCATAGTAACACCCACACAGTTGACATGAATTTTGGAAGTGGAAAGGTAAACTTTGGCTTGTAGCTAGAGGTAATAGAGAATGTTCACCATCTTGATATTCTCATGGAGTAATCAGAAATTTCCTCTAGTACTTATCCACCCAACAAATATTTATTTTGTATCTACCATGGGTCAGGCAATGATGCCACATAGAACAGATACAATCTTTCCTGTCAAGAAATGATGTGAGATGTGAAAGGAAAGGATGTGAAACAAAGCCAATGTTATAAAAGCATTACTTGTCTTCTAAAGAGGCTGAAGTGGGTTCCAGGAGCATGGAGGAAAAAGAGTTCCAGGAGCAGGGTACAGGAGATTTTAGGAACATGGAGGCAGAGGTTCTGAGGACACAGAGGCAGGTCTCCAGCCCATGCCTGAACCAAAGGGATGAAGAGGAACCGAGAGGATGTTTTAGAAGAGGGAATACTTGCCTGAGTTCTGGAAAGGAAAAACGTTGCGCAAATAGAGGAAAAACATTTTCAGCAAGACAACCAATATCTGAAAACCTCAAAGGCATAAGGTAGTTTGTATTGGTATATTGAACCTGTACAGACCTGCCATCAGATAAAGCTAGTCTTGATCGGGGACAGCCTTGAACGACTATGAGCCATGCTAAAGAGCTTGGGTGTCATACTTGACATGAAGAGCCACTGCAGTGTTTTAAGATCAAGATGATTCGGCCCTGTTCTCTTATGTCTGTAAGATGAGATGGAAGTTGTTTTACTTACTCTTTGGCATCTCTTTGGCTATGCCTGCCCCCTGCCCCCTGTTGCTGTGGCAGAGTCTCTATTTCCCCCTTAAGTGAACAAGAATCTCGTCAGCACATCTACAGGATGATGAGAGTCTGAAGCTGTGAAGTTGATACTGCCAGAAATTCCACCAGGCCAGCTGCTCAACCCACCATGAGGACAGAAATGGGGTTTCAAACTTCTGATTTCCCAGGCTTGCTGACATTTTTCAGAGGGTAGATTCCTGTGCACAGCTGTAAGAAGGAGACAACAGCCTTTTCATAAAGAAATGCCAAGAAATTCAGTGTGGAGCTATACAATGGAAATACTTGGTTTCCAGGGACTGAGCCCACAGCTGTCATTTGCTATGGAAATGTACAGTCAGCATCTTAACTATTGTCTAGCATATTTCTACTCATAGTATTCCCCCTCCTTTTATAATTCATAACACTTCCCCTTCCACTTATCTTTTTTTTTTCATAAATAGTATACGTTTTACTTACTTCTTGGCATTTAAAGTACCCACTACAGAAAGGCTGCAGTGTTGTCTCCCTGCATAACACGTTAAAATCAAGTTACCTATGTTCTAATGAAACTTTGTTTATAACACCAAAATTGAAACTTCATATGATCTTTATGCGTCGTGAAATAACATTCTTCTTTGAATTATTTTATCTATCATTTACTGATGTAAAACTGTTGTTACATTGGTGACTACCAGATTGGGAGGTAGGCCAGATACGGACCTGCAATTGCTGCTTATGAACTTTTGTTCTAAATCAAACAGAGAGTGAAAGAATGTGGGCTTTTTCAGTGTGAAATAGCCAGGAAAATGTTTTTCAGAATTTGGAAAATTTTGAATTAGAAAGACTTCACAAGAGAATTGCTTCTTCCTCTGAAAAACAAAAATCCTCAAATGACAAACTAAAAATTTTAAGTTAGAAGCCAGTGTTACTGGACACAAAGGGCTCATTTGAAGTTAGCAGCAGTCGGAGGCATAAATAGGAAAACGATTAGCTCTTTCAAATGTGCTAGAGGAAGATGCTACGCTTGTTTACAGCATTCATTTCCAGAACAATACTTATTTTTAACTAGGTCATGCAAAGTCCACTTAAGCTCCACCCTAGGAAAATATCACCCATAGGCAAATTTCAACAAGTGAATTTTTACTTTATTGAATGTTGTATGTCCAGAATGTGAAAGACGATGGTGCATTCAGTTTTCGTTGATCTATCTTTGTTTCTCCCAGGGCCTTAGATGCTCTTTGTGTCCAACAAGGATTGGGTTTTCAGACTCATTGCCTCCCTCAGTTTTGTCTTACCAACACTGCAATTCTTACTGGAATGAATGTAAAGAGTTTTCTAAATTACAGGATACTTGTCAATAGGTAAATATAGTTTCCAAAAGACAAGGCCAAGCAGGCATGAAAACAAAGGAAGTATTGTTGCTTTGTCGGTGTTGTGATTGGGAGCAGCGCCGGCAGGAGATGCAGTGGGGGCAGTACAACACTGGTGGCTGGCTGATGGCCTTTCCGCATTGACCATGGTTGTCCATTTTGGGGTTCTCAGAAGAAAATAAAATGCATTTTGAAGAGTAGTGTCATTGATCCCATCTCTATCCCTATTCAGAACAAGCCCCTGAACTGGAAAGTCTCACCGTGACCGAGGTTGGCTGGGACGGCCTCTCACTCAACTGGACCACAGCTGATCAGGCCTATCAGCACTTTGTCATTCAGGTGCAGGAGGCCAACAAGGTGGAGGCAACCCAGAACCTCACCGTGCCGGGCAGCCTCCGGGCTGTGAACATCCCGGGCCTCAAGGCTGCCACCCCTTACAGAGTGTCCATCTATGGGGTGATCCAGGGCTATAGAACACCCGTGCTTTCGGCTGAGGCCTCCACAGGTACCACTTAACTTTTTTACCTCTAGCTTTTGCTTCTCCCCACAGGAAACAGCTCAAGGGTAATCAGAGTTAACTTACTGTGTTTCACATTTCAGAGTGATAGGTTCTGATAATGGCCAGCCAGGCCGCCAGATGACACAACTCCAGTGTGGATGGTACCTTTGTACATTAACCAGAGTCCAACTTGGACACATAGCTTCCACAAGGCCTTTGTAGTGGAGACACTGAACTCTAAAAACAGCCTGCCTACCATTAAGGGACACAAAGGCACTATGTTTAAAAAGAAAATAAAGCCTCAAAATTAGTCCTTTTCTCTATTGAAAGTTAGGATAATTCTTTAACAAGAAAGCTTGTATTTACCCTCATTCTCCCTCAATTTCTAAAATTTAGAAAGCTGCATGATGCATGCTTACCTAAAAAGAGTTGCATTTCTAAGTGCTCTAAATCTTATTGTTGTATTTGAAGATGTCTACAAACTTGGTGTGTGATTTGATCATTAAACTAGTTCTTTATCCTTCCCCAGGAGAAACTCCCGACTTGGGAGATGTCACGGTGGCCGAGGTGGGCTGGGATGCCCTCAAACTCAATTGGACCGCTCCAGAAGGAGCCTATGAGCAATTTTTCATTCAGGTGCATCAGGTTGGCACAATAGAGGCAGTCCAGAACTTCACGGTGCCAGGAGGATTGAGGTCCATGGCCCTGCCAGGGCTCACAGCAGCCACTCTTTATAAGATCACTATTCGTGGGGTCACTCAGGACTTCAGCACCACCCCTCTCTCTATTGAAGTCTTGACAGGTATTCCAGCTCAATCTGCAGTTTGCTTCAACCCTGATACCTCTTTGCTCAGGAGAAATCAAAGAATTTGCCTGCTCTAAATTGGGTTCAGCCCCTACCGTGTCAGGGAAATCCTGGTGAATCATCACTGTGTCTTCCCAAATGGCATATCCCTTATTTGGCCACATCCCAGTCCCGGCCCAGTAACCAGTTGCATGGAAAATTCCACCCTCCTCTTCATTTGCAAAAGTGAGAATTGAACTTTTCTTGCACAGCAAGATTCGGTCATAATATTTTCTTAGATCTTCTTCTTCATAATGACTTCTTAGAAGAAGTTGGAAAGTACAACTTATAAATTAAAAAAAAAGATCTGAGCTAATTTTAAGAACACCCAAGGACTCCACAGGGCAGTGCTTGCATGTAAAGTATGTATGTGAAGAAGTTATGAGCAATTCCTAAACCACCTTTGGTTCTCAAAGGCTGAGTAGAAAGCATCTGGCTTTAGTGCCAACAAAGAAAGTGCGTCAATGTGATTATAAATCATGTGTCTGTAATCGACACTTACCAGACAACTCATCCCAATTTTAGCCAAAATGCCATCTCACCTGAACCCACTGTGCAATTGCCTTTTTTAGTAACTCAGTAACTCTGTGTCCTTACACAGAACAGAGTCCAGAGCTGGGAAATCTCACAGTGACCGAGGTTAGCTGGAATGCTCTCAGATTGGACTGGACCACACCAGATGGGACCTATGACCAGTTTGTCATTCAGGTCCAGGAGGTTGACCAGGTGGAGGAGGCTCGCAATCTCACAGTTCCTGGCAGCCTGTACTTTGTGGAAATCCCAGGCCTGAGAGCCAGCACGCCTTACAAAATCACCCTGTATGGAGAGGTCAGAGGTCGCAGCACTCGACCCCTCGCTGTGGAGGTCATCACAGGTACCTGCCCCTCTTTCCAGACCAGAGACGTGAGTGAGTTGTAATAGAGCAAATTTCCCAAGATCAGGGCCCTCTCTCTCTGCAGTTGACAGCCAGCAGGAATGTTTACCTGAAGAAGGTCTGTGGCTAGAATTCCACTTCACTGATTGAACATTCTAGAATACCCCACTATCCATCTTGAAACTTACTTTTGTCACACTCAGATCACAGATAACATCTCTACTTCAGTACACCTTAATGAACACAGTACTCATCACGTAGTATCGAACATTAAGAGCTAACTATAACAACAGAAGCATATTAAAAAAACAAAACAAAAACAGTAAAGCTGTGGCACAAGAACAGGCTCAGAACTTTCTAGAGAACTATTGCTATCACCACCCTAAATCACTATTATTCAACTCTTAGATCTCTTCAGAATAACCTTTGGAAATAATCTATTCATCTTCTGCAGAAACTATCCAAGCCTCTTTCCTATACAGATACTCAAGGCAAGGACATTTCCAAGTTCAGCCCATCCTAGTTCAATGATTTTCATTCAACTTGAAGAAAAAACACGATAGAAAACAAATCCCTGTGCATGAAGTTTCTAAAAAAGCTTCAAATGGAGCCATGAGCAAGGGGCCCATATTTTCAGTAGTGGAATTTTTACGGTGGATCCTAAGGTTGTTATACCTATATTCTGATAATGGTCATCTAACTCACCTAATTCAAATAGGTTGTTCTTCTTGCTTACATTTACCAAATAAATACATTTGTTACTAGAAATGACATACACTTTCAAAAAAAAATTATGAAAAGGGATGGTGTGCTAACGGCAAGGTGGCCAAGCTGCCATCACCCTCAGTTTCCTGGAATGGCTTCAAACGAGAAGAGGGCAAAAAGGGCCTTATGAGACATGCAATCCAGGTGTAGAATATCGGCCATCTATAGCTACAGTCTGCAGAAGCTTATTCTTAGAAAAAAACCTCTTTTTTTGCAAAGTGAGTCTTTTAAGGAACTCTGCAACACCTGAGGACAAACAGCTAACACCCAGCTTTTGTTTTTTTTTTTTTTTTTGCTTGTTTGTTTGGTTGGTTGGTTGGTTTTTTTTTTTTTTAATGGAATAGATCTTACATATATTTAACTCTTTAACTTCTAATCCATGGCCATTACAGCCTTATAAAGAAAGGCTGAAAGATCGCAGTTGGCCTCAGGAGTATCCCACAAAGCACAGAGTCTTCCATGTCCTGAATCTAAATTCGTACTAATTATTACAGTCAGTTTCCTTCCTGGAATTAGGCCCGTCCCTGCTTTATGAACTGAACAAATGTAGTAACTCTTAAAAGTAGGCACACTCTGCACACACACAGCCTTGCTCTCCGAGGAAGCCATTCTTCTTGACTCAGAAACCAAGTACTTGCAGAAGGCTGGAGATGAATAACCAAGCGAAGAACATATAACCCTTCCAATCCCTGATAGCTGAGAAAAGTCCAGAGCAAAAGCATCACACTTTTTCCAGCCATAAGACAGTCTATACTTTATGAATACAGACAGATGGCACATAGATGTTCTCATTCATTTCAAGTAATGAAATGAAGCATGTTATTATCTCCCCCAAGACTGAGTAGTTCCAAGGACAAATATCTAGACCAAATGTTGCTATTATTTAAGCTTCCACTTATTAGATGTGCACTCCATATCAAGCATTCAGGGGTTGATGAATGCTGTCATTTCAACATCATACAATCCTCCACCTACAGGTGAAGAGGATGAGAAAAGAATGCTGGAGTTCCAGCCAAGGTCCATCTGCCGCCATGTGTGCACATTCAAGCTTATCCCCACCTCTTACACCCTGACCCAATGCCCACCTTTTCCCTGTGTCCCTGTGTCCTGTATTGTCCAGACAAGCTCTGAATGCTCAGGGTCATGTGTTGGTGCCAACATCTTTGTCATATCCAGGATGAACAATGGACACATGTTTAACTTCAGAAAAATATCTGTGGCCACAGTATCACATTCAAATTGCAAATATCAGGAGTTCAGGGATAACCAAAATTCTGTGTCCCATTTTCTTTCCTAAAGCTAGGCTGTGGGACATTCGGTTTCTTCATTTGGGCATTATAGAACTAATACTTCCCTCTCTGTCCTTCTTCAGAGGAGCTCCCCAAGCTGGGAGACTTAACCTTGACTGAGAATGGCTGGGACGGCCTCTCACTCAACTGGACCACAGCTGATCAGGCCTATCAGCACTTTGTCATTCAGGTGCAGGAGGCCAACAAGGTGGAGGCAACCCAGAACCTCACCGTGCCGGGCAGCCTCCGGGCTGTGAACATCCCGGGCCTCAAGGCTGCCACCCCTTACAGAGTGTCCATCTATGGGGTGATCCAGGGCTATAGAACACCCGTGCTTTCGGCTGAGGCCTCCACAGGTACCTCCTCCATCAATGCTTTCTTTCCTTAGGCTCCCTGCTTTTTTCCCATTAGATCGTGCAAGAAGTCAGCTCCTCTCCATACCAAGTCCCTTCTGTGTGCCCCTCAGCCGCTGCCCTTGCATGCTCAGAGACCGCCTGTGCTGTGGGTTGTGCCTTTGCCGAGACAGCCTGGCCGTCTCAATGATGAATGATGCAGATACTGCCTCCCCTGACCCTCTGCCCCATAGCTTCTCTCTCCCACACTTCATCTGGCCAATCCTCACAATGATGAATGATGGCTTTTTGTTTTAGGAATCAGCCTGATGGTTTTAATTCACTTCTCTAGTGTTGGGACACAAACAGAAGCCTCCCTTTCCCATGTGTGCCCTGGAACACAGATTATTTACTTTCTGGGGTCTTTTGCTAGTTGAAAATGGTGTTTTAGCATCTTCAAATCCCTCAAGGCTATGGGCACACTGAAGAAATATTTCACAAAAATGGACTGGGTATAATAAGAGAACTGAATTACCCTCCTCCAGGCAATTCCCTCAGATACTGAGTCATTGTTAGAACATCAAATTAGCAAATAGCTAGACCAAAAAGAAAAAAAAAAAAAAAGCCATGCTATTATGACTGGAGACTGTACCAAACAGAAATCTAGTAGTTCATAGAACTACACACAGCAGCATTTGGAACAGGGAATGTCTTGGGCTATGAATGTCAAGGCCTGATAGTGGTTTTGTTCTTTTCATCAAGAGCTGTCCCCTGGAGTATTGGCCTTTGGATGGCAGACTCCCAACCCCCGTTCCAGAAGGGTGTGTCACGGTTAACTCATCACTTTATAGTCCAGTTCCAGTGTGGTCAGTGCTTCCTCCTGGAGCCAATTAAAGTAAGACATTTTTCCTAGCATTGTTTTCTACTCCTCATCTTCAGGATGAGCCTCAGCTGGTCTGCAGCTCAATTTCAGAAGCTGTGCTATTTCATTTCTTATAGTACTGTCTTTTATGTAATTACTGCAACCAAACTTCCATGGTAAATCTGCACCTGCCAATTGATTCTAGCAAAAGCATGGCTCTGTGTGTTCTAGCCTGAATCATCTCACAGAGTTTCACATAAAATGTTACCAACCCCTTCCTAGATGGCAACCATGAAATGCCTAGGAATTCCAGATGAGGCTTCTCTAAATGTTCCCAGGAATCATCTGACATCCGCAAACCACCCCATTCCAGACGGCAGGGAAATCACCTACCACTTCTGATCTTTTTTTCAGATCTTGTGGTTTAGATGCCATTAGTATTTGTGCAAGTGTGCGTGTGTGGATAAGTATATTTCTTTTGGTTGCCTCTGACAAGTTGTCCTGTGAGGATGAGTTTTTTCTGAATAAACCAATTAGGATGGTCTCAGAGATCAGGAGACTTCTTCCTTGCTAAAGTGACAAAGTGTTCCTGCCTGCCCTCTGCTGTCATTCCTGTTTGAGAAAGCACTGGCAGGGCCATCACAAAGAGAAAAAGTTACATCTTGGCTGAAAAAGGGCCTCCCTAAACAGGCATGTGTTGGCTTAGCCCTCTTTGTGGGCAGTATAACCTCAGCCTTCTTGGCCTACGTAGAAGGCGTAAAGTGGGCACATCTATTTTAATAGAAAATGAGAAAAAGCTGACTAGCCCTTGTCTAAAGTATGCAAACATAAAAAAATTACACTGAGAAATGCACAATTCCTTTTAAATCACAAAATTAGAAGCCTCTAGCTTTTGCTTCGGTAGGCTATAATTGTTAGAATGATTCAAGCTCTCTATCTGAACAGAGGGGAGAACTCACATGCCAAAGGTTTCTGCAGGAGCAATGCAAACAGCCCTTGTCCCTTGCATGTAGTTCAAGAGACTGGATGCTGCCAGGGTTCACACCTGCTCACCCATGACCAGCAGCTCTGAAGTGATGGGCCCAGAGACAAGTGCAGCAAGGGCACAGAAGTTTCTAGTGAGATCATATACCAGGTCTTCATCAGGGGATCATGGCCAGAATGTATTCATGTGTGGTAATTGTAGAGTAGTAAAATCTAATTGTCATGCCTTCCTTTTCAAAATATTATTCTTTTAACAAACTCCCTCTTCTCTCACACTGGCATTGGTTGATAACCTTGCTTTATTTATACCATCACCCCAAACTATCAGACCTTTCTCCCTGGCAATGGCTCTATTAACAACCTGAATCTGGAAATACAACCAAATAATGACTCAAGTTTGTTTCTTTTCTCTTACCCCTCCTTTTTCAGCCGAAGAACCTGAAATTAGAAACTTAACTGTTTCTGACATAACTCCTGAGAGCTTCAATCTCTCCTGGACAGCCACTGATGGAATCTTCGAGATCTTTACTATTGAAATTATTAATTCCAATAGGTTGCTGGAGACGATGGAATACAATATTTCTGGTGCTGAGCGAACTGCCCACATCTCAGGGCTAACCCCTAGTTCTGATTTTATTATCTACCTCTCTGGACTTGCTCCCAGCATCCGAACCAAAACCATCAGTGCCACAGCCACCACAGGTACATGTGCATTGTGTCATTGCCAAGAGCCTCTCTCCACAGTCTTCTTTGCAGGGTGAAGCAACTCCTCCCCTTCCAGGGAAGTGCAAGCCACAGGACATCAAATCTTTTAGAATCTGGGCTGCAGCCATATTTAACGTGACTCTCTTTCGACAGTAACCACAGTGGTGGATTTCCATAAAGTTGTGAGCTGATTCATCACTGGCAAGGACATGTGTATCCTAAAATGTAGTTTGGTTCTGATTGCATTTCAGAATTTGAAGAAAAGAATGCTCACCTGCAATAACTTGAAGGCCATGAGAGTGGCCCTGGTCTTCAAAAGATGCCTAGAGGAAGTCTCCAAAGTCACATTTGTGTTACCCTCGTGTCTCTGTCTTCCTAGTGCTTCGATTTTATTTTTACAAGACATCTCAATGGCTTAATGAGATTATGTTGATTTTTTTTTCCAAGTGGGGAATTGAAAAGAAAGAAAAGATTACTCACTCAATGAATAGAACAGGTACCCGTGTGGATTCTAACACCATCTCCAGGAGAAAATATTAGACCACATAGCTTACACCTAGAACAATGGATGAAACACAGCAAAGTAAAGTTAGAATGGTCAAGTTCAAACAAGGTTTTTAAAAGAGTGAAATGCTCGCACTTTGAATCTCTGGAATCTTTGGTATTTATCCCAAGCCAGAAGCTCTAGATCATGTAGCACAAAAGAACCTAATGTGAATTTATAAAGAAGAGTTTTGTCCAACCAAAATAGCATTCTTAGCACATTTCAGATAATGCCTTCTCTTGACAGGTAAGCTAAGACATCACAAAGAGGGTAGAGAGAGGATTTTGTGGAGCAAACAGAGTTCACCAAAAGGATGTCCCTGTACTCTGGAGAACGCAGGACAGAGGTGGACATTGTGACGTCAAAATGATCTCTCATTTAGGTCACCCATTGTTGAGAAACTGTCCTCAAACTAAATGAGATAACAATTGCTATTTCAGTGACCCAAGCGAAAGGCAGAGCCAGCGTGAAGTAATCCCTGTCTCAAACACATTGAAGTGGGAGAAAACCTAGAGCGAGAATTAGCCAACCATATATATGTGGCTTTCATTGGTTTTCAACAAAGAACAAGTCATTTTCCCAGATGTAAAGTCTAAAGCCTTTTGGATTTAGTCTTTTGTGTTTTGCTTTTGAACCTACACTGATTTAAATTGACATGATTTCCTATTGTTTCTTCCTGCTCTAGTAGCTGAATCTCTCATCAGCCACCTCACTGTCTCAAATGTGACCTGGGGCAGTATGTTCATCTCATGGAAAGCGCAGGAGCCTGTTTTTGATAGTTTCCTCATACAAGTTAGGAATTCTGACAACCCCCAGGAGACGGTGGAGTACTCCGTGCCTGGGGCATCTCGCAATTCTGTCATCACCAACCTCAAAGCTTCTTCTAATTACACTGCCTACCTTCATGGGCTGATTGGCGGGCAACGTGCTCATACTCTGATGGTCCAAACAACCACAGGTATTTCCCATTACGGGTTCATTGCTCTCTCCTGAACTTTGGCAGAGTACCATTCCAAAAATCACCTACCAAGCACTCTTCATCTTCCTCAAGTTTGACAGAGCCAGCCAAATCAAAGCTTGAAAGCTCTTAGATAGCTCTCACCCCAAATTAAAGGCCTTTAGTGTCAATCTCTTTTTCCTAAATATCTACTCACATCTGGAGTTGCTCTGTTTATTTGTGTAAAGTGACTTGCTTCGGTTGAATTTCTAAACCATCCTTTCATCTGATCTTGAATAATCTTTTCCATTACCACTCATTATCATCAGCCTGTGGTCTTTCTAATCAAAGTTGCCTGCATCATGTTCCAAGAGGTGTGTGCATGCCATTTTGATTCAGCCAGTCTTTCTCCCTACCAGGATTTTAAATAATGATGCACCTAGCAGGTGATGAAGGAATTTGAATCACTCCCCCGCCCCCCAAGAAGTGCATGCGAAATTTGATGGTGTCATCTTCATGAGACTTTCTTTTGTCTAGACTTCTTATGAAACTGCTCTGTGTTGACACTGAGTCTGTCAAGCATGGTTTCTCACCCACTGATACCCGCCATCAAGCATCTAAACCCCTTTTCCATTCATCATATTGTCCAAATCTTGGTGCATGGGGTGGGCAACCAGATTTAGTTTTAGAAAATCTCTACATTCCTAGAAGCAGACAGCATGTCAAGGAATTATCTGAACTTGTTATAAGTAGTGGGAGAAGAATGTTGCTTCTTTGCATGGAATATTGTCCACATTTTAACTACCATTCTCTTTCTCAGTGTTTTCTTGCATCTTACTTCCCGGCTTGATTACACCCCCTGAGAGGCAGCTGGAGGTCAAGTTGACCTCAAGAACTTAACCCTTACTCTGCATGATGAATTGCCAACCTTTGGTACCAACCTGCATCCTTAACTGGAGATAAGCAACAAAATATAGGGGAAGCACAGAGTTCCATTTGGAGGATTTTATCTTTTTGTGTGGTTGATGAAATTTGCCAATACTGTAGCTGAAAACAATAGTGTCATTGGCTTCTCAAACCAATTGATGAGTAGGAAATCCCATGTCATTGCCTGTGACCTCATTCTGCTTCTGAAGCAGATTCTTTTTGTCCTTGAAGACTGTGTTGCATTGAATCATGCTGTGAAGTTGTACAGTTAAAGTTTATCCGTATGAACTTCTTGTTCCTTCAAATTCAGAAGCCAAAAGAAAACAAGAGCCTAGTCTTTGGAAGAAATACTCTGTCTCCTCCCAACGCCCAATCCTGATCTGGTGATCCACCAGGAAACTTGCCTGTCTCTAAGTCAAAGTCCACAGTGGATCCATTTTAACATTAATATTACTTGATAAAATGAACATTTGTGGGCCAGTCCCAAATACACACACACGATTTCAAGCTAGCCATATAAGGGCTTAGCATTAAATAAGTTGATTTCATCATCAATGATTTAGACTTAAGGCGCAATAAAGAATTTAACCTCAATTTAACCAACTTATCCAATAAGTTTCTTAATCAGAAAATGCAATGCTTAACTTTAAAGTTTTCCTTGAATGTTTGAATCTGCCATTTGGTCTTTAAATGCTTCACAGAATTTCTCTTATATGGATATTAATCTTTAACTTGCACAATCAATAAACACCAAAGGAAGACTAAGTAAGAAAAGCTAGAAAAGTAGCCAGCACTAAAGCATGATTGGGGGAGCACAAACTCTTAGAGATGTCTGAGGGTTATTCCTCAAAGAACATATCTATTGATGGATAAGTTTGTGAAGCAGCTAAAAAAGATATAAAGACATTTATAGAATATGTCGGTCAGATTCTTTGAACAGCTAATACACTTTGTGATATGATGAGATATAATTTTCAGTGTTTACCATGCACTTTACACTGTGAAGTTGTTTTTTCTTTTTTTTAAAAGATTTATTTATTTTTATTTGGAAAGTCAGATACACAGAGAGGAGGAGAGACAGAGAGAAAGATCTTCCATTCAATGGTTCACTCCCCTAGCAGTCTCAATGGCTGCTGCTCAGCCAATCCGAAGCCAGGAGCCAGGAACTTCTTCCGGGTCTCCCACGCAGGTGCAGGGTCCCAAAGCTTTGGGCTGTCCTCGATTGCTTTCCCGGGCCACAAGCAGGGAGCTGGATGGGAAGCAGGGCTGCCGGGATTCGAACCTGCAGCCATATGGGATCCTGGCACCTTCAAGACAAGGACTTTAACCGCTACGCTATTGTGCCAGGCCCAAAGTTGTTTTTTCTTTAGAAGTTTTACAGAGGTAGTGCTCCAATGAAAAGTTTGAGAAACAAAGATTAATATCAATTACATTAACTCTGTCTTCTACCCAATGACTTGCTTACTTTTCTTCATACACAATCAGCAAATACTTGTGTTTATATATATCAAAAGGATACTCACAAGCAAATACATACATGCCTATATGTACACACACACACATACACACTGATGAGTAAATGTATGTATGTATATATGTATCATATATATATATATATATCATAATTAGTGCAAGGATAGACACAAATTCTATTTCTGCAAATATTTGGAGATATTGATGCTTCAAATTCTGTTGCTACATTCTGGATAAATCCACTGCTTTCTCTAATAATGTCTCTCTTTTTCTCTCTGCCCATGTTCCTTCCCTTCAGAACCAGAACCACAGTTGGGCACGCTAATCTTTAGCAATATTACTCCTGACAGCTTCAACGTTTCGTGGACCACTCAAGCTGGGCTTTTTGCAAAGATTGTTGTCAATGTGAGCGATGTTCACTTGCTGCATGAGGCCCAGCATGTCACAGTCTCAGGAGATGCACAGCAAGCTCACATCACGGGCTTAGTGGAAAACACTGCCTATCACGTTAGTGTGGCAGGGACCAGCTGGGCTGGCGACTCCACCAGACCCCTCACTGCCTTGGTCACTACAGGTACTCCATCAGAGGTTCTCATAGATCTGTTTAGAATTCTGACACAGGGAGAAAAAGAGGAGACAGCCACTTTAAGGGAAGATTCAACTCAAAGTGTAGCTTTCACTCCAAATGTACTGTTTTTAATATTGTTAAGTAGCAAATAACAATTGCATATATTGATGGAATAGAGTAGGCTGCTTTGAAATCTGTATATATTCTGGGATGGCTGGCTCAAGCCAATTAACTTCCAACCCCTCACTTTCATTCTTTTTGTATCATAAGAGTATTTAAATTTTTCTCTTTCATATTTTGCAATATATATTATTGTAATCTTTGAACATCTTATTGTACAAAAGATCACTAAAACTTATTCCTCCTGTCTAACTGAAGTTTATAACCTTTGGCCAACTTTTCCCTTTCCCTATCCCCTAAGCTCTGCCCTAGTAGCCATCATTCTACTCTACTTCTGTGAGTTCAAAATCTTTCAATTCTACACAGAAGTGAGATCAGCCATTCCCTGTGCCTGTGTCTGGCTTTTTTCACTCTACAAAGCATCCTCCAGGGGCATCTATGTTGGCACTAACATAATTCCCTTCTTTCATAAAGTTGATAGCGTTTCTTTTTGTGAATGTGCCATATTGCCTTTATCCACTCATCCACCGATGGCACTCAGGTTGCAATGCAGCCTTGTTCAGAACTGCCAAGATATTGAATGTAAACTCGTAGGTAAACAGGACAGATGTCATAGCAAATCAGAGGTCATTTATAGCAACTTGTAGAAAATAGAGGGCGTGTTCTCAACAGCTGTATAAAGTTTTTGGGGATTTTTGTGCCTAATGTTTTAGGTTCTCTTCAACAGACTTTGGAGATTCTGACTAAAAAATGAATTCTTAGTAAAGACCTAAGACAGGAATTTTGTCCAAAATTCATGCTGGGTAAAGCAGTAAACAAACTATCTATTCCAGAATTGTAATAATCCTTTCCTGGGTATTTGGCCTAGTGGCAGATGTGACACCTACATCACACTTTGGAGTGTCTGGGTTCAGTATCCAGCTCCAGCTCCTGACTCCAGCTTCCTGCTAATGCAAACTTAGAAGGTAACAAGTTGGCTCTCTTGTCATCGCATGGAAGAACTGGATTGGATTGGATTCCCAGCTTCCAGCTTTGGCCCAGCCCAATTCAGTCCCACTCTGCAGGCATTTGTATAATGAACTAGCAGATGGAAGTCCATGGGCGCTCACTCTCTCTCTCTCTCTCTCTCCTCCCTCTCTCTAAAGCACTTCCTTTAAAAAAGTATTCTTAAAACTAACAACAACAGACAGAAGCGCCAAATTAGTAATCTGATGGATAAATTCTTAGCTTAATGCAATCTCATCCATTCATTGACCTTGGCCTTTAATTTTCTTTGGATTCTATAAACAGTGGTTATCTTTTTCTTTCCTGATATTATCCTAAATCAATAACAAATGGTGTCGATTTGCCTAATCTATAGCATGAAAACCTCAGAAAATATTTGCAAATCTCTTGCCTTTCACTAATTTTTAAAAGACTTTGCCATTTGACTTTCACTTTGAACCAAGTCTCCCCCAAAGTTTAAATTGCTATTAATATGTTAATTTGGTTAATTGGATATTTAATTGGAGGCACTATAGTATACAGAAAGAATGAGTATCTTTAAATTAAGCCTACCTGGTTTCTAAATTTCTCCCACATCTTTCTAGTTACATAACCTTAACAAGTACTTAACCTAGTTCCTTGTGTATTGAAAAAAAGATGTCCGCCAGCACCTCCAGCAACCCTCTCTGGAACATGCAGGTGTGGATAAGTGACATCCAGTATAAATTATCTTACAGATTCTGGATCCTTTCTATTGCCCCTCAACAGTACGAGCAAAACAATATTCTTAAAAATACCCCAAAAGCCTAAGTGCTTGTAGAAATAAAATCATGCAGTCACAACTTCCTTACGAATTTATTGATGAGCTCCTCATTATGTTTTAATATGAGAGAGTATGAAGGAGGCAGAGAAAGAGACTGCTCCCAGACAACTGTTTCACTCCTCAAATGCTTCCAACAGTCAGAACTGCACTAGGTTGAAGCCCTGGACTTGGAATTCAATCCAGGTCTCTCCCGTGAATGACAGGAATCCAACTACTTGGAGCATCACTGATATTTCTCAAGATCTGCATTAGCTAAAGTCAGGCATCAGAGTCAGGAGTCACGCTCAAGCACCAAGGGGCACATGTGTGTCCTAAGCAGTATCTTAACTGTCAGATGGAACACCCACATCCAGATGTTTTAATGTTAGGTTGAAAAGCAATTAATTTGGTTCTGCCTAGTTCTGATGTGAATTAAATGATTCACGGTCATCTTCAAAGGCAGAATCTGTGATTCCTTAACAAGAAAGAGAGGAATAGGTTATGGGATGTGATCCACACTGCCCAGGAGGGAAGGAATGGCCACAGAGCCCATCAGGCCCTTACTTGTAGTAGCCTCTTGCAGGACCTCCCACAGATCAGAGGGAAGGAAGGAAGGCTGCTTGAACTGGGCTTGGGCATCTATGCTGTCTTTACAGCTTTGTCTCAGTTAATCGTGCTGTGAAACGATTCTGCATTTTAAAAGAGGCATATAAAAAGAAAGTCTAAATAAGAAAGGTCTCTAAGAAAAGAGTCCTTGTGGACTAATTAGCCTAAATACCCTCATTTTCCTTGGAAGCCATGGCAGCTTTGGTGGCAGGGAGGTGGCTAAAGAAGGCAGCCATCAAAGAGAGGTTCACTTAGCTGAACAAAACCCTGTAATGCAATTTGAAGCCCTTGTCTGTCCACCCAAGGAAGACTGTTTACCCTGTATATGTGATTTCATGTTTGCCTTTGATAGAGTTTAAAGTATCTTTACAAGGAAAAAATAAATAAATAAACACCAAGTGCTTGAAAACAAGAGCAGGAAGTCTCATACCACAGCAAAATTAAGTCCCTGCTAAGTAGATGAGGGCATTCGATCTGCCATTCTCTCACCAAACCCTTCTTTCTTAAGCATTCTTTTTTTTTTTAATATCCTATAAAATGAGAACCTGGGCATTAGTTAAGATAATTTATCTTTTTTGAAAATTTTCATTCACTTACAGTGGAAAAGAATGTCCCCATCTCCATCAGATTTGGCCATGGAATTCCCATCCCTAGCCCTCTGTGATTTAAGAAAAAAAAAAAAGAAATACATTTACCATTATCATGTGCCGTTTTACTGTAGAGAAGGTACTTTGCCTTTTCCACTAATCCTGTTTATGACTCAGGGCTTAAGAGCACTGATGGGCTTCACTAATTAGATGTTGGCTTAGGATGTGAAAGCAACATGGGACTTGGAGACAGGAGATCCGGCTCTATCCCAGCTTAGCTGCTAGTGGGTGTGTGACCATGGCTAAGTCATGATCTCTATTTCCTTAGCCATCACTGTAAGGATTAAAGAGGATAATGGATGTGAAGCCCTATCACCTAAGTCATTATTAACAAGAACTTGGCGATACAAGCTCCCTGTATATTGGAAATTGCAACATACAAAATAATCCTTTGGCAGGTGAGAAAAAAAGAGTGCCTAGGATACAGATGTTTGGTGAATGAATGAGCAAATAGTGATGGCAGACCTTACTGAAGATGCAGACATATCCTTGTTTTCCAATTTTATCCAGGAAAACAGACAAGTAAAGAATTAGCAACTCTTAACATCCTTTCGTGGGACATAATCATGGAACATTCATTTCAACCTATAAAATGATTTACCTTCATGTCAACTTGTGAGGATATTTCACTAATTGGCCTAACCAACCTGATCCAAAATGTAAATTAGAAGTAGGATAGAAGTGTACCAGCAAGCATAAAAGAAAGCTGCCTTATGTCATGATTCAATCCAGTAGGAAATAGAGAAAGAGGTCTTAATCCAACCTTAGATATCCTATTTGTATCAAACCACTGCCTTCAGATTCAGATGCAGTTAAGAACTGTGCTCTGTTTCACAATAGTTTGACTTTAGCCAATTTATTCTACCTACTTGGAAATCAGTGTTTTTGTCTGCAAGATTGGACAAGTCCCTAGTAGATAGGCATTTTTACAAAAAATTTAAATATATACATATATATACATGTTAATGCTATCTTGGCACCAAGTTCTTACTAAATACTCACTTTTTAAGCATATAATACACCGAATGAATGATTAGATATCTATTTGCATTCTTGGAAATGGGTATTATCTTGGCAAAGTCAGTGCTGCTAACCTACATTATTTTTACCCTTCCCTTCTTTCAGAGGCCTTGCCCCTTCTGGAAAACCTAACCATTTCCGACATTAACCCCTACGGGTTCACAGTTTCCTGGATGGCATCGGAGAATGCCTTTGACAGCTTTCTAGTTACCGTGGTGGATTCTGGGAAGCTGCTGGACCCCCAGGAATTCACCCTTTCAGGAACCCAGAGGAAGCTGGAGCTCAGAGGCCTCATAACTGGCATCGGCTATGAGGTTGTGCTCTCTGGCTTTACTCAAGGGCATCAAACCAGGCCCTTGTTGGCTGAGGTGGTCACAGGTATTTCAATTCAAGTCAGCCATTCTCTCCTCTTCCCAGTCCCCCTTCCATGTAATCTGTCTATAGATCATCACGATTTTAACATCTTCGTCAGTGTTCCCTACTTAATCCATAGATATGACCTGTTTTTTTTCGCATCATCTCCATATTCCCCAGTCTTATGTCTCCGTTGAGTAATCCCTACTGCCACCCTAGCAATGAAAAGGTTGAAATGTTTCCGCTTGGTGTCTTAAATCCTGTAGACCCTGTCTTGTCCATAGCTCTTGTGTAGTTACTCTGTGTCTCTTTCCCTTGTGTTCATCCTGGCTGGTTTCCATCAACATTTCAGCCTTCTCAGAGAAAATGTACTGATGAGTATATTTTGAAAATGTATGTGATACCTTTGCTGTCTAAAGAAGCCTGAACAGTGATCTTTACAAGTTTACCCAGAGGAGTCATCACTGTAAAACCATGTGTAAGCTTATATTGGCTAATTCTAACGTCAGAGAGAATCAACACAGACTAAATCCATGATTTTCACAAGACTAATGAGAATTCTTAGAGAAACATGGCATTAACAACTTTAATAGGAATCTGTGTTTCCCAAAGTCTCTCCAGAAATGAAAAGTCCTACTTGATAAAAATTCCAAGTCCATATTTCTAGCATCCTGTTTGGGAACATGGAGATAAACAGAATCTTTGACCATAAAGCTATGCAGAATATCTTAATATGCATTGTGTTGTCTCTAGGAGGGACTTTTCCAGGCAATATTTCTCAAGCTTATTTGATAATGGTTGACTTTTAAAGAAAAAGACCAAGTAAGAATAGTTTTCTTTGATCACACTTTGGGAAACTCAGTTCTGAATTTACCATGAAATAGAGTTTTGTCTAGTTCAGGCAATCCAAGATGAAACCTCAGGGCCAAAGGTCAAGGCGTCTTCAGGAAGTTTATGAAAAATATGTGCTATGGCAACAGTGCATGGATCTCTGTTTTTGCACCACAACACGCTTATCTTTAATTCTACTTTCACACAGACTTTATGAAGTACACTCACATGTGTCACACAAGGCTTAAAGCCTCCATTCTACCATTGAACATACATGTAATGAGTAAAATGACAAGGAAAGAAAGTCGATGAAGAAAGAATGGCAGGAATTAAGAGCTTTCTTTTTGTCTATCAGCTCCAAGAACAAAGAGAAAAGACTGTAGCTTTTTAAAAGCAATTTTGGTCAAGTTCAAGGGAATTATAATCAGAAGTGTCATCATGGGCAACTCCACAGATCATTAATGCTGCTTTATTTGTCTTTTTAAAAAGGTCTCACAGAGAATGGGCACTCAGCCATTGGAAGACAGAGAGCAAATATAAACAAGTTACTGCCTTTGAACTTCTTTAATAATGCAAGGAAGGGCCTAACGCTGAGTCCAAATGTGGATTTATAGAATTGCTTTTAGACAAAACTCACGTATGCAAACACACGTGCAGCCAGTATTGGCTGTATTAACCCTATCTCCCCATCTCCTAGACCTACTAGGCTTGTTCGTGTTGCGTGACTTTGTTTTTGGTATCTCAGGACACTTCTGTCTCTGAAAGCTGGGGCATCACTGCATTCTGATACCCCACTGGAAAGAGCATTGCACGGGCTGCTAAATGTTGTTCTTCCTTCCTCCCTTCCCCACTATTTTCTTTCTCTCTAGAAGCCGAACCGGAAGTGGATAACCTTCTGGTTTCCGATGCCACTCCAGATGGTTTCCGTCTGTCCTGGACAGCTGATGAAGGGATGTTTGACAGTTTTGTTCTCAAAATCAGAGACACCAAAAAGCAGTCTGAGCCATTGGAAATAATCTTGCCTGCCCTAGAACGTACCAGGGACATTACTGGTCTCAGAGAGGCCACTGAATACGAAATCGAACTCTATGGAATAAGCAATGGAAGGCGATCCCAACCAGTCAGTGCCATAGCAACAACAGGTACCGTAAAAATTCAGGACAAAACCAAGAATCGAGGGTTTTCTTCCCAGAGGGGTCAGTAATCATATGGGCATTGGACACAGCCAAGTTTGCCCTCAGACTCCAGCTTGTTCAGTTATTGATAGGGTTGCTTTGGGAAATTTGACAGTCTTTATGGAAGAATATGATACATATTACCTAATACAATTGTATGAATGAGATAAAATAATTAACATAGCTGGGAAGTGACAGCTATTCACATTATTACCAATATACCATCATTATTATGATCATTACATTTTTTTAGATTCCAAAGACTTGTTTTCTATCTAGGGAGTAGTTAATGAAAAATGGATCTTGAATATTTTTGGTGTAAAATTTTTTTAATCTATATATACCAGGGGTCTTCAAAACATTTATTAAAAATGTGCATTATTAAAACCTATGCATAGATTTTCAATCTGTTTTGTACACCAAAATGTATCTTTTTTTTTAATTTTCCATCAACCTATTCCTTCATATTTAATCCAGAAATTTTTTTACTATGCTTTGTCCAAAAAATGAAGCTTCACCAAGTGGAGTTAATGGAGAAATATTATTGTACCTGAGGAGATTAAATTACCTGAGATGTCATGCTAATACCATGACATGGGAGAAGCAGGGAGCTAGCTCATTGACACTACCCATATTCATAACAATTTTAAAAGGCACTGAGAGGAGAAAATGAAAAACCTTTTTCCCAAGGAGACTAAAGTGATGAATAACATGGCGGTTTTCTAACAGTAACAGTAAAACTGGCATGCCTTCCTAGAGAGAAGGAGAAAGGTAGCAATTGGGATGAGTTCCTTCTGGACATGGCTTCTTCAATGAGGAATCAGAAGAAATGATCACAAGGACACAAGGAGAGACCGAAGAACCTGAGAAATGATGGGACTTAACATCTTGTTTGTGCATGAAAAATGCAGTGCCCAGAAAGGTTCAGTGATTGGCCTAAAGCCACATAGCAAAGCATCCCATTTTAATACTATTTTATGCAAGGTAGACTGGATGAAAGGTAACCAGTGACATACATACTTGCCACCTTTGACAGGCAGAATGGGACAGTGGCCCTAACCTCCTCCTCTTCATACAATGATAGATATTTGACTATGATAAATTCCAATCTATTAATTCTCCCTGACAGACATCATCATTAGGATTTGCGGAAGGAGAGAAAATGCTGAGAACCAGGCAGTAACTCAGTGAGAAGAAAACTTCCCTTTCCTGTTGTCAGGGACAGATGATCCGAGAACAGGTCTGAGGCGCCCCCTTCCTTTGGCTGCCCATCAAAAGCCTCGAGATCAGAGACTCAGCCAGATTTTGACCTGGTTTTATAAATACCACTCTCCAAAGTTTACATCTGATCATTGGTTTTGTTTTGCTGAATTTTTTTTTCTACAAGTCCTGTAGTTCTAAAGCAGAATGAATAATCATGAGTTACCATTTTTTTCTTTAAGAACAAAAGAAAAGAAAACACAGACTCTGCTCTTTGGCCCTCTCTTTGATCTCCACATAGATTATAGCCAAAGGAAGAGACAGAGAAACATTCACGTGTGTTTACATACTTTTGCTCCAGGACTGGGAGAGGGGATTTGGCACAGCAGATTTCTAATTCCTATATTCACCTTGTCAGCTCTGTAAAGCTTCCATTTTTCAATCCTTTCTCCTCCCCTCTCCTCTCCTGTATACTGTCTATTTCTTCAAACCCATCTCCATGCTGTCCTGTCCCACTTCCTTCTGATGAGAAACTGCTGTGGCTCCTCCACGAGCTCACAATCTCCTCTCACCCTGTCTTGGAGCAGGAGCCCAAGCTGCCCACTCTTGAGTACCTGGGGCAGCAGGTGGGAGGCAGTGCAGCCTGATGGCTAAGCCACTGTGCTCTGGACAGACTCCTGGCAGTCTTATCATGGCCTTAGCTGTAACCATCTGTGTGACCTTGGGCACATCTCTATTCCTCTGAGTCTCAATTACCTCATCTGAAAAAAAAAAAATGGCTTTTAGCTCCAAGATATGCCTTCTATGAGGTTTAAATAAAATTATGAATGTCGAGTGTTTAGTAGAATTTTCCTTGGGAAGATATTGTAGCACCTGAATAAGGCAGTGTTGTCCTCTTCTGGGCGCTCCTATAGCCTGTGTCCTGTGTGCACTCAGGAATACAGAGTGAACACTCAGAAATGTATCTTAAACCTGTATAAACTCCTGGATGTTCCATTCTCCCAGGTTTTGCGTAGCTGTCTTCCCAGTCACTTTTACCAGTCACTTCCCTCAGGAGTATAATAGATGAGGTCATAGACTCCCATCATGTATAAGATGGGGGCAGAAAGTATTGCCATTTTGAGAAAACTGGATCTAAGGGCAAAACCTTTAGCTATTAGCTGTGACAGGGTCTAGAGCCAAGACATTTTCAGTCAAAGCAAAACCCAGAGTGAGCCAAGTTGGCATAGGGAAACCTTCAGGCTGGAGTTGATAAACCTCAATAAGGTTTGTTCCTCACCTGGACTCATCTATATGTTTTCTTTGGATATAGAAACAAGGGTAACCCATGGAGGAAAGCAAATAGAAGGTAATCATCTTTATGGAATTTTCCCAGTGAGCCAGATGCCATGCCAGGGGGGTTATATTCGTTATGCCTGCTAATCCCCAAAACATTCCTGTGGATGGGTTCCACTTTCCCCTCTGGACAGAAGGAGCAACTAGAGCTCGCAGAAATGAAGGGATGTGCCCCAGGTCACCCAACCTCTCAGTGGTATTTGGACAATCAGGATCATGCAGGCTCCAGAGATCCTGTGGTTTCCAAAACTTTCCATGGAGAGGGCAAAAACCCAGGCAGCCATAGAGTCTGGGGTGGTACCCAGGTCACAGAGGAACGCTGCAGAGGGAGCTGTGTTAGAAAATAAGACATGGGGGTGAGACTAAAGCTCTCTAAATATCTGTGGGTTTCAAAGCTTAATGAGCAGCGTGGGTTAGAGAGAGGAAAATATGAGGAAGGAGATCCCTTGAGCCTGAAAATTGTTTCCTGAATTCTCTGGTTAAGCTTGGTCAACTGAACTAAGCCAAAAAACACAGCAGATGAGCCAATAAAACTGGCTTTGGCGGAAGGTATTTGGAGAGCTGAAACTTCCTTCCCTTGGGCATGGCTTTCCCAACAGGTAGCCCCAGTATCTGTTGATGTCGGCTTTGGGGAGGATCTGAGGCTGCTCTTCTGGGTTGCCTCCCCTGCCCCTAGTCCTAAGAACAAGTATGCCAAGGTCATTTTCCACATGAACATTAGTTTCAGGATTCTGGGCTGTGTTTGAATCTATTGACCAGACCTGGAACCTAGAAAGGCCACTTTCTCTCTCTCTCTCTCTCTCTCTCTCTCTCTCTCTCTCTCTCTCTCTCTCTCTCTCTCTCTCACACACACACACACACACACACACACACACACAATGTGGCTCTCTGGAAAATGGCTACATCTACACCTTCGTCTCAGGGATCTCTGTGAGGATTAAATCTTACAACTTCTAAAAAGCTGGTAGGTTTGTAAGTCTTGATACTGTTTGAAAAGACTCAAATGCAAAAAAAAAAAAATTCTTTTTTGAAAAAGTGCTAAAACCAAACTAAAAGACAAGGCAGCATATTCCAATCTGGAAAGCCACTATTCCTCAGTTGCTTGGAAGTTGCTGATAGTGTTTATAATCTTCCTGAACAGATGAATCATTGCTCTGCAGCTCTGGGCCCTGCACCTGGAATGAAGGAAGAGCTGCTTCTATCAAGTGTCACCTTGAACAGATCGCCACTTCTTCATCCCATAGGCTTGACTCAAACATGAAGTTGTCCTGCACAAAGAATCTAGGGGAGAAAACATTGAGAATGGTAGCTAATTGCTTCTTCGTTTCTCTTGTGTTCTCTCCTTGGCAGCCATGGGCTCTCCAAAAGAAATCATTTTTTCAGACATCACTGAAAATGCAGCCACTGTCAGCTGGCTGCCACCCACTGCCCAGGTAGAGAGCTTCCGGATCACCTACGTCCCCATTACAGGAGGTAAGTGTCTCAGGGGTTGGGGTGGGAGTGGAGGAGGAGCATGGAAGGTTCATGTTGAGTAGTGACAGGGACCCAGGTAATCTCCACTTAACATCATTGCCAAAGAAAACCATATCCTTGTTTTTGAGACCATTTAGAAAGATCCCATTTATAAATATCCTTGGAACAATCTACCTAACTGCCTTGTGAAATGTCGTCTTGGAAGACCATTCAAGGCCTTGAAATCCTAAATTCCTTGAGAAATAAGGTTTAGTGAAAAAATGAGCAATAATGTTTTCACGCAATGACAAAAGGTTAACTACACACGTGTTCCCCCTTTTGAAAATACTCACCTGAAAACCTAGTTTTTCATGTCAAAATCCATTTCAGCATAGGATACAGACTTATGCCTCAACAGAACCACAGGTTCTAGCTTGGAGTGTGGGCTGTAAATATGAGATGGCTTCCAAACGTTCATGAAAAGGCAATTAAAAGAGAAGCTTAATTGAATGCCCAAAATATGAAAATCCATGTAGATAATGAATCTTCTCAAAGTTCATTGAAAATGTGTGTTATGTAAAAACTAGCCTGAAGTTCAATTTTTTTGCCCCAAAGAAGTTTAGTTTCACTTGCCATGGTTTTTAAAAAATGTTCTGACAGAGACAGCAGCACAGTCAAATTTACCTGAATGCACTCTGACAGGTAATGAGTTCCCTGTTCCCATAGATGTGTAAAGAGAAGATGCTTGATAGTCTCTTGGGTGGAGTGCTGTAGCTTTCCTTTGAGGAATCTGACCAGCTCATATCCAAGTTCTACATTAATGTTGCAACTCTTTTAAAAGAGAAATCGTTCACTTGTTAATACACAGAAGAGTACAAACTTGGTTATGATCATCTTTCCCTCTCAACCAAAATGTTTGCTAGTAACAGAGACTGCATACTCTTAAACCAAAACAGTGGGTCAGATAGATCAGTTATGAATCACACAGGAAGCATTCCATATGTTTTGTGGTTAACAGACCAAAAAAAAAAAAAAGAAAGGAATTAAAACTTGCACAACATGCCTACTCTCTGCCGAATGGAAATTTGCCATTTTTAGTATGTTGTGACTTCATGTATTTTCCTCTACTAGGCTTTGTTTTTGGCTTCCTCACCAATGGAAAAGCCATTATACAAAAAGTAAAACCGCTTTCTTTATGCCTGAGGGTAGGACTAATGAAAAGAAGTTTTTAAAAAAAGACAGGATTGGATAAATATGCTTTTTCATTTCCAAATCAGATACACCCAGCCTTGGGTAACACACACTTCAGTAAAGTTCGCCACTCACTATCTGTTTGTACTATGTTTCAGGTCCACCGTCCACAGTAACTGTGGATGGAAGCAAGACTCAGGCCAGGCTGCAGAAACTCATCCCTGGCATGGAATACATTGTCAACATCATTGCCACCAAGGGCTTTGAGGAAAGTGAGCCTCTCTCAGGGTCACTCATCACAGGTGTGTTGAGTTTTGCATTTTGCCTTTCAGAGCTCATGTTCACATACGGTATTGTTTCTTACCTTAAGACACATGGCTTGTGTCCTGGAAGATAAAGGGGGCTTTTCTTTATGAAACCTTAGTGGGAAGTGAATTGGATTTAGAGAGCCAAAGCCTCCTTTCTCTGGCCCATCCCCAGCCTCTGGGGAGCAGGGAACCTTACATGATCTTCATCCTTGCTGGACCTCTGTTTCCTGAATGATTGCGGAAGAAAGAACTCGAGTTTGGCGGTCAGATTGAATTGCCTTTAAATCTTACAGCTGCCAGTTATTTTCTCTGGGGTCCACTTTCCTTCGCCCTGAGTTGGAACCACTCCAGCGTTATACTCAGGGCCCTGGAGGCTCTGTAAATGTCACCGGCAGTACACTTTCGTCCACCATCTCTTTCCTTTCTTTACCCGAAGCCTGGAATCATGAGAATCCATTAAAACATGTGCTTCACACAGTTAGGTAATAGTGACAAGTATAAAGCATCCCTATTTGGCATCTATTCCATTTAACACACTGTTTGTGAACCCTTCACATTCAGTCCCCACTACTATCTTCATCACCATTTTACAGAAGACACAACTGAGACCTGGAGAAATGAAATACCTTAACTAAGGCCACACAAGTAGTGAATACTGGAACCAAATTTGAGCATTAAGGGTTATTTTTCCACTATAACCTGATTTGTCACTAAAGAATGGGATCTAATGAACAACACTGAGGGAGAATGAAGTGGACCATTTCTCTTCAAGCAGCCATGTCTCCAGACAATTTACCCTTTGAAACATGAACAATACCCAGTATGATGCTTTAAGGGATCCAAATAATAGTTCTTACAGGAAATGATTTAAACATCCTAGTGACCTAAAATGATTGATAAAGTGCAATTTAAATGTCCCAGCTGAATCCAGAGTCCTGTATACCCTTCTGACATGGGCTCTCATGTATCCAAAGAAATCTCTCACTTACTGATTCTCCTTGGCAAGAGATCAGAAAATCGGGGAGCACTTCCCCTCAAGGCCTCACTGTCATCACCAGTGAAAAGAGATCCTTTACATGCATGGGATGAAACTGGAAGCAACTCAAGAGTAGATGTAGTGGGCCTTCCAAATTATTCCACCATATCCTGACTCTCAGGCTAGTTATTTCATCTTGACACTCGAATACCTGCTCCTTGAAATGAACTGATGGGAGCTGAACTCCATCCTCCTCCTGCTGCCATGGGAGTAATTATGTCTTCAATACAAAAGCAAGGAGGAAATAGTTATATCCAGATTGCCTCCCAAGAGAGGGCTGTTGGAGAGTGGAAGTGGACAGTTCAAAGAGGCCAAGGGGAAATAGACCTAAAATGCCCATGCTTTCTCAGGACAAGCCATTTGGAAATCACAAGCAAGACTACAGATAATTTTAATAACAATTACAATCACTGAGAATTTCCTTGAGCACATTGCACACACATTATGATCTTCACAGCTGCCACCCTTTGACAACTGAAGATGGCGATTTCGGTAGAAGGGAAATGAATTTCCCAAGACACTAGGCAGAGGAGCCACAAAAGAACCCAGTCTGCAGAACATGGCTTTACAATATCTGTGCATCACTGAACCAGAGATGCTGCCCAAGGCCAATGCCCCCAAAAGCCTTGAGCTCTTTTAATTCTGTCAGGTCTCCTCTGTTTTTATAAAGTCTTCCCCTGGGGAAAGGTGCCATGAACTGTAATGATAATCCTTGTCTCGGGATCAACCCTTTTCAATTTATGCAGAATTTCCATGCAAAATATCCTGTGAAAATCAAACAACAGCAAAAGGGGAAATGGAGCAGAATTAATATTCCCACTTTATAGGTGAGACTGTGGACACCCAAGTTAACAGCCAGCAAGGGAAAAAACCAGATTCCTGGCTTACGACTCCAAACCATCTCAGTAGATACTATGTCCTAATTAAGAAGTATAGACAACAGAGCAGCTATGGTCCAATGCCCTACCCTCTGACTACACCCTCTGCCACCATTTTTCTTTGCAGCTCTAGATGGTCCATCTGGCCTGGTGACAGCCAACGTCACTGATTCGGAAGCCTTGGCCATATGGCAGCCAGCCATTGCCACTGTAGACAGTTACGTCATCTCCTACAGGGGAGAGAGAGGTAAGGTCGTACCCAAGACTCCACCCAGAGATTCTTGTTGCAAACTTCCTCCATTCCATGTCGTGTTTTGTACAGAACTAACAAGGGGCCTGGTTAGGGTGGAAAGGCCGATCATGTCCTTGGGACCTTCAACTGCAACCTCAAAGGAGACCAGTGGCCCACTGAACAACAGCAATAAGAAAACATTGTCTATCTGCAGCCTAAATGTGTTTTCCTAGCCCGATCTTCTTCCTCGCTAGTCGCTTTGCCTAGCAAAGGGTGTGAGACAATTTCTCTGGCAAGCAGCTCTCATCCTTTACAAAGAATAAGCATAGCGTTTCAAAGCTCAGACTACTTCAGACACCATTGGCATGCCTGTGTTAGTGGCCCCTGGAAGGGACCTGTTGTAGCAAAGCTGATTGAAAAATCCGAAATTCTCTTTCTTTGCTTTTGCAATGAACTGTGCCAATTCACCCAGTTGGCAAATTAAACAATTGGTTAGACAACCAGTAGAACATGACTATCGCAGAATAAAAGTCAAATAAAAATGAGAGGAGACGAGAGTCCTGTACAATGAATCCATCCATAATTTTATAATGAGCTATTCTAGAAAGTACTCCGTGCTTTCAATTTCCTAGTGTTCATCGGTTTTATGGCTCAATAATGTTGTATTTGCAGTGAAAATCAGAAGGCACCATAACCTGTGCCTGGGTCCTCTGTGCGCTTTCCCTCAGCCTGGTGAGTGTTCTCTATGAAGTCAGAGCAAAGGCGGGCACCTTTGAGTTATTTGTTTACTCTAACTTATTTCTCTGAGCGATTTTTCAGATGTCAAGTGTTTTAGGTAGGTCTCATCTAAAATAAGTTGATGGGAATCATGGAAATGGTGTGTTTAGGACTCGAGGGGCTCACAGAGGACATGTTTGCTTGGAATTTTCCTGGTATTCACACTAAAAGTTCTCCCAGGAAACCCATCAGGGCCTGATACGCCAGGTGATTGATGACCTATGATTAGCAAATAACAGACACACCTGGGAACTGTGGTTTCATTTCTACCACCAGACATGATCCAGTGAGCTGGACTGTGGTCCCTTGATTTAGCCACATTTGGTGAATTGTGAAAGGATGCGTGAAAGCTTCAGAAGAGATGGGAGTGCTAACACATGATTTGATCATTTGTCATGTACATGTAATGCATTATCACCCTGTGCACCATAAATGTGTACAATTAAAACCATTTTTAAAGGTTTGTTTATCTTACTTCAAAGAGGTAATAGAAAACCAGAGAGACAGAGATGGAGAATCTTCCATCCACTGATTCAAACCCCAAATGGCCCCAAGGGTCAAAACTGGACCAGCTGGACCCGGCACGATAGTGTAGTAGCGAAGGTCCTTGCCTTGAATGCACTGGGATCCCATATGGTTGCAGGTTCTAATCCCAGCAGCCCTGCTTCCCATCCAGCTCCCTGCCTGTGGCCTGGGAAAGCAGTCAAGGATGGCCCAAAGCACCCAAGTGGGAGACCTGAAGAAGCTCCTGGCTACTGGCTCCTGGCTTCAGATTGGCTCAGCAGCAGCCGTTGAGGCCGCTAGGGGAGTGAACCATCGGATGGAAGATCCTCTTCTCTGTCTCTCCTCCTCTCTGTATATCTGACTTTCCAATAAAAATTATATTTATAAACTGGACCAGTCCAAAGTCAGTAGCCAGGAGCCTCCTCCGGGTCTCTCACGCGGGTGCAGAGGCAATGGGCCATCCTCCTTCACCTTCCCACGCCACCAGTAGGAAGCCAGATAGGAAGTACAGCTGCCAAAACACTGACTTGCATCCAGGATGTCAGCACCGCAGACAGAGGATGGAGCTACTAAGCCTCAATGCTGGCCCCTATTAAAAACACTTTTAAGAGGACTTGTGAATAAATGAGATAGCAGATAGAGTAAGCAAATGAACAAATTAAATTTCAAGGGCACAAGGCTGGGGGTTGTTACCTGGCAACGCTCACCGTTCTTGTGTCACAGCCTCAGATTAGTCACCACAGGGAAAATAAATTTCTGACCCCAGGTCCCCTTCCTTCTGATATGATGCCTGGGAAAATCCAGGCTCCATATGATCCACCTGTTGTATATGAGGTGAGAGCCCGAGAGAGAGAGAGAGGGTCGTGAGTCATTCGGAGATCAAACCTGCTTTGCCGTGGGTCACTGGAGGTGTTTCCGTGAGGAGGTGTCTATGCTTTGCCAATATCACTGATGGCTCAGACAGGGAGAGGTAACGACCTCACTTTGCTCCATGTCCAGGGCCGGAAATTATACACACGGTATCCGGGAACACGGTGGAGTATGCGCTGACGGGCCTCAAACCTGCCACAGAGTACACACTGAGGGTCTTCGCCGAGAAAGGCCCCCGGAAGAGCTCCCCCATCACCACCAAGTTCACCACAGGTATGGAGACCCTGAAGCTCAAGGCCACCCTCTCCTAGATGCCCACTCATTCCTATCCCTTAAGCAGTAACCCCTGGCCAGCACTTCACTCTGAAGTCAGGGCCTTGCAATGTGATGACCTCAGCATTGATTAAACTCACCAGTGCCCACTCAATGAAGGCCTGAAGAAACACACATTTCCTTTTGAACTGAAATGACCTCCGTCTCCCCACGGATGGGAAAAAGCTAGCAGGAGGGAGACTCAGTAAGTAGAAAAACAGACCCCAACGGCCCTAAATCTGGCGAAAAATTTTTGAACAGACAGGCAAGTTTTCTTAGATGTCCGTTGAGTATTTATCCATTGAGACCTTTTCTGTAAACCCCAGTTGGCAGGAAAACGGTCTCATCCCTGGTGAGTCCTCTTACCCAGAAACAAGGGGTGGAACTGATGCTTGTAGCTGTGTTGTCTCCCAAAACCCACCCTGTAGCTTTCAACAGCATGCTATGCAACCTAGCCCTTAGGGTGTGGTGGCCTATAGAAAATCTGTTTGGCGGTCACATGGTTCAGCTTCCTCAACTGCAAAGAATGGACCTTGCCCAAGATCACACCATCAGTGGTAATCATTGCTCTAGAAACCCAGCTGAAATGCCTGTCCGTCACCTGCTGAACTGTGTGGTGTTCGTTGTCCCTTCTTTTCCAGACCTTGATTCTCCAAGAGACTTGGCTGCCACTGAGATTCAGTCAGAAACTGCCCTCCTCACCTGGCGACCTCCTCGGGCATCAGTCACTGGGTATCTCTTGGTCTATGAGTCTGTGGACGGAAAGGTGAAGGTAATCAAAACATATTCATGATCCTTAACATGGGAAACAATTTCCCGATGCTGTTTCTATAGCCCAGCAAACAGCAAATGAACAAACAAATTGTGGGGACCAGACACAGTGCCAGGCCTTCAGAAGAATGCCATGCAGCCTCTGTCATTCTAATCAGACCCTAGCTCTGCCACTAGCCAGTCAACTGAATACCACTCCTTTCACTGCCGGAGGATCTTACAGAAGTTGGAGCAAAACCTGCTTCTGCATTTCTGCCAAATGTAGAATCTCATCACATTATATATTGCAGTATAGTCCACACGTTCTCATAACATCAAGTATTAATACTACGTATATTATTAATATATTCTTTCTTCATAATTTATATGTATGTGTGGGTCTGTATGCTGTTACACTTCCCAAATGCCTATAACAGCCAGGGCTAGGTCCAGCTGAATCTAGGACTTGAAACCCAATGCTGATCTCTCATGTGGATGCCAAAGACTTGACTGCTTGAAGCATCATGAGCTGCCTTCCAGGGCTGCATCTCAAGCAGTGGCGTTCAACCTTTCCACCAAATGCACAGACCTCCTTTAAATTTAAATAACCGTGGCTCTGCATTCAAGTGGGAAAATTTTTCAAATTTAGCTTCTGAATTGTATTGAATTTTTGATTTCAGTTAGCTTGCTTTTTTATTTCCAAGGTAGTTTTCTGATCCTCTGCACATTCATTTTTGTCTAGCATCTTGCTTGGGTTTTGTGTGTTTTATGGCACAGCTAACAGGTGCTCCTCACCACTTTCGTTTTTCTCCATTTTACTGTTTTAGTCTGGTTTGGATTTAGGTCTCCCTCTTTCTAGTCATTCACCCAGCATCTACGGGTCCTAGTTTACCCTTCTGTGCTTGAACCAAGAGTGAAGGAACAAATTGGGAGTTCTAGCTGTACAGTCAGGGTTTGCCAATTGTGTGGCGAGTATCTGGTAGTTTTATCAGGGTATTCCAAACAACAGTATCATTAAGCCTGCATTCTGACTGTGCACAGCCCTTCAGGGTTCATGCTTCCAGGGTTCCGACTCAGCCTCCCCCACATCTGAGTCCAGTAGGTTTGAATCCAGAGGTGCTTCTGTTGCTCAGCCTCCCCCCACACTAAACCGCAGAATCCCATCTGGACTGAGAGGATAGGATCTGCAAATGTGTTCCTTACACAAACCTTTGAAAGAAATCAAGCTTTTGTCCAACTACACCCTACGCTAGCCATCAAAGGCATCTTTGCTTTTGTACATCTTGTATTCCTGAACATGCAGAAGCCCATAGCATCCTTCAACTAATGTCCAGTTGGCTCTGCTCAATATTGTTTTATTGTCCCCAGCTATCTCCAGTCTGTCCCTTCTGGAGTCTCTGGACCCCCTACTTTCCATCCACCAAGACTCTGTCGATATTGTTGTGCCTGTGGCCATATTTCTTTCTTATACCTTGCTCTTGGTGGATTTGTATCTTACATCCCTTTATATTCATCTTAGTGGGCATCCAGAAGCAAGTTAAATGAGTACACAGAACCCACACATCTCTAAGGTCTTCTTCCGGTCATGCCTCTAAAATTCTCCGTGCACCTGAATCATGAGCTTCCATTCGATCTGCCCTAACAGCCTAAGAAACAGCTGCACAGCAGCCTGCAGAGCTAAGTGGTAATTATATCCCTAAGTAATTCAATGAGCCCAACTTTGTATCTGACAGGTGATCCTTTCCCCTCTGGCCAGAGCTGGGGTGCTGCACCAAGGCTGCTGGGTCACTGAAATAAAATAGGCACTCACCCTCGTTGCTTTCCCACATGGTTAGCCCCACCTTTACGTGTCTCACTCAAAAATATCAAACCAGTGTAGGAGGAAAAGTCCTGACAAGCACCCTTTGTATTATCATCTTCTATTTATCTCTAAGAATGTTCATAAGTGGTATATAGTTGGCTACCTGCCTAGTTTTTTTCTTCCAATTTTTTTTAAATCTGTTTCATTGTTTTGGTTTGATTTGACTTGGGAAACCAGGAAGTAAGATTATCCTTTGCCACCAAAAAGTCATGGAGTAGGAACAATTCTTTTAGCCTCTCTGAAGCTCATTTCTCCCTTGGGCAGAATCAAAATAATGCATGTTCCCAGTTCTCAGGCAGCAGGAAATAACAGCAGTACTCATTCATTGCAGCCCAAGCCCAGCTGGCACTGCCTGCAAGATGCAGAAAACAAGGCTTAGTTCACTGAGAATGTATATCTAATTCCAATCCCAGACACCAGGATCATTAGCTTAAAGGACTTGGAAACTAGAGAGAGGATGTTTAAGACTCGGGTTCTCCAGCAGAGAGCTAATACTTACTATGCACAGTACTTTACGGTACTTACTGTGCACAGTGACTTAAGCCAGATACTTCCTCTGAAGAGTAATACAGACACCAGTCACAAACAAAAAGCATTTTTAGAATGGCCACATAACAAGGGACTCCTGGGAGAGTTCCAGGCTGTGCCAGCTCACCGATCGAGCATGCCACGTCTCCCGAGTTCTTCTAGTCATCTCAGACTAGCAAGTCTCTCACCTGACTGCCCAGCAGAATTGTCTGGAAAGTTTCTTACACATGATTCCACTTCTTTGTCTGAAGACTCAGTTTTGGAGGGGGCTCAGGTATCATATTTTCTTAACACTTCCCAGAAAGCTTCGCTAATGACTCATGTCTGTGCAACTCAATAGTTCTGGTCTCATTCACCCTCACTCCTTGTACAATTCTTCATACCACCAGATCAAGCCACTGAATTCATGTGCTTTGCTTACTCCAAGGCCTTTCAGATATCCCCATTCTTTGTGATGATAAACTTCATGGTCCATAGCTTAGCACCCTGTGTAATCTGCTTCCTGTCTTTCTTGTTTCTCTACCTAAAACCAAGGATGGTCGATGTACACCTCCTGGTGTTTTATTGACTTATTGGCCCCAGGATCTTTGCTCATGCTGCACTTACGTCATTCCTGACACCTCAACGGGGCACAGGGAGCATGGTGTATTTGTGTTGAATGAATATGTCAACATGCAAGTGGAGGAATGACTCCATCATCTATACCCTGAGAATGTCTATGGCCAAAAGCTACTCAGATCTTCCTTTTGTCTTTAGGAAGTCATTTTGGGTCCAGATACCACCTCCTACAGCCTGGCTGACCTGAGCCCATCCACTCACTACACAGCCAAGGTTCAGGCATTGAATGGGCCTCTGAGGAGCAACTTGATCCAGACCATCTTCACCACAAGTAAGAGGCCCAGGGGGCACCCACCTTGACATGGAACTCGTGAGACTGAGCCACACCTCCACTTCTTCTTTGACTTCTGCTTTAGTATTTTTTCAATTTGATTTTTATCAGTTTCTTCATATGATCTGAGAGTCTAAGGAATGTGAGTGTGCAAAGTTAAGGGCATCCAGTGGTAGGAAAGAAGGGTTGGCAATAAAGCCACCTGGATTCAGTCCCCATCTCTGCTGCTTGTTTTGTGTGCCTTAGTATGTCATTTCCATTCCACAAGCCTCAGTTTCAAAATTCATACCATGGGATTAACCACTGCCCCTTCCTTAGAGGGACCTTACTTGGGTTAATAAGGTTTCATAATTAGTTGTACCCTTGGTGCAATGTGTGACCCACATGACTGAGTGACCCTTTCACAGGTAGGACTCGGTATACCTTTTCTTATTCAATCAGTTGGCATTTACAAAGTCATCCAATTTCAGACTAGTTCAGTGTACCATGATTATCATGCCCAACCTCCTGGAGCAGGGAGCAAGACTCTGAAGACGAATTGACCTGCTCAAGGCTATCCTGAAAGGTGGTGTCAGAATTAGGCTAGACCAATCCAATGACAAGAGGCCTCCCCTGCACCTGCCCTTGCCCGACAGCTAGTCATCAGGCAAGTTGTTCTGCTCATAAGAGATAACATGCATTCACAAGGGAGGAGCTGTCACTTGGAGAGCCCTGAATTAGGAGCATCCGAATGCATCCCAGCACTGTCCTCTGCCCTCCAGACTTCACTTGACAGTCATTCTGCAAAAGCCTTCCAAAGATGATGCATCCTCTGTGCCAAATCTTAGGCCAGGTGCTTAAAGCACAATCTATAAGTATGCTCTAAAGGTACTTTAAAACTAGGGCCTTAAATAAGTAGGAAAACAGCTTCTAATTCAACCTCAACTGAAGGAAATGTCCCATTAGGCTTTGATGTTGGAGCAGAATGAAGGAATTGCTATGACCATTACTTCTCTGGCCACCCACAAAGCACATGGCCCCTTTCTATCAAATTTGTTTATTTCTGTATCACGTTATTGCATTGCTGAAGTACCCAGGCACTCCTGGGTTATTCCCCCATGACTCCAAGCCTTAGATCAATGAAGTGACCTCTTGAGTGTCATCCAGCAAGAAAGCAGCAACTCTTCTCTCAAAATGCTCTGAAGAGTAAAAAAATTCATGTTGTGGATATAAATGTATTTACCAGAAGAGATCAAAGAGCTAAAGCTTTTTATCAAGCTTTCAAAACAACCTGCACCCTAGTAGAGTGCCCTGATGTGTTATTGAGCCACTCACTTGGCTGATACCTGTATGTGCAACAGGTGTTACCTGGGTGTCCCAGGGAAGTCCAGGTCAGCCTGACACATGCCCCTCATAGTAGCTCTGCCCTTATGCCAACAGATGACTTTCATCACTATAGGGGCATGTGATGAATCTCTCATGTCCATAACTTGTAATCTTCCTAGCACTCCCACAAAGTAGATTGCATCTGTATCTTACACAGAAAAGGAACAGACTCAGAGAGGCCAAGTTGCTTCCCCATAGGAATCTAACCAGAAAACAGTTGAGCTGCCATCAATCCGCTTCTCTGAGCTTCACTTCCCTCCTTATCTTGCAGTTGGACTCCTGTATCCATTCCCCAAGGACTGCTCCCAGGCCATGCTGAATGGAGACACAACATCTGGCCTCTATACCATTTACCTGAATGGTGACAAGGCCCAGGCACTGGAAGTCTTCTGTGACATGACCTCGGATGGGGGTGGATGGATCGTGAGTATCACCTTGGACTCAAGCATTCTCACGGATGGGCATGAACATAGAGGGCCCAGCAGCAGAGGCAGGGGTGATAACCCTCTCCCAGTGAACCCTGGTAGCTAAGTACCTGAGCTTTTGCAAGATAGCACCTGTCACAGAGCAGTATGCAGAAATAGGAAAGAAACTGCGGATTTCCTTGTAATTCATCTCACCTGATCCTGCATCAAGCAACTCTGTGATGTATCAATGACGGAGACCATCAAAACTGTATTTATGCATGTTGGCAAAGGGCCGAGCACCTACCGCCTGTTGGACACTGTGCTAATAGTTTTCCACAAGGGATTTTCACCCCACTGCCACACAAATGGGACAGGATTTTTTTTAAATCAGTAAACTTTACTTTGGGGGGACAGTTTTTGGTTCCTTGTGGAGCTGATGAGAAAGCACAGAGTTCTCTTCTACCTCCTGTCCCCCAACTCATACAGAGTCTCCGCCAGTAACAGCCTTCTGCTCAAGAGTGGGGTGTTTGCCACAACAGATGAATCTAGAGTGACACATCTCTAAAGCTGAGTAGTGCTTTCACTTCATAGTTTTCAGGTAGATTATCATGGCTGAGAGAAAGAAGGTGACTTAGCAAAAGTCCCAGGGCGAATTAGTGACACAGCTGGGAACAGGTGCTCTCGCTGTCTGCCATTTCTTCCTCTCAGGAAGCTTCCTGCTGTTTCTTTCTTGTATGTACCCAGAGTCATTGATTATGTTCCTAGGTGTTCCTGAGACGTAAAAATGGCCGTGAGGACTTCTACCGGAACTGGAAGGCCTATGCTGCTGGGTTTGGAGACCGCAGAGAAGAATTCTGGCTTGGTAAGGTAGTCTTGAACTATCTGGAACACCCATTTCCACTCTCCTTGTCATTATTCCTAACCCACAGTGACCGCGAGGGAGAAATGAAATAGAAGGACAAAAGTTCCAGTGGTAGAGAGACTATCAGACTCTGAATGGAAAACATTATCTAAATGCTCTGAGTTATTAAAACAGAGCTCAGGGCAAATCCAACAGGCAGACCTTGAGGGTGGGTGTTTGGCATGGTGGTTAAGAGGCCCACGTTCCATATCAGAGTACCTCAGTTCAAGTCCCAGTTCTGCTTCTAATCCCAGCTTCCTCTGATGTGTGCCCTGGGAGACATCAGGTGATGGCTCAAGTAGCTGTGGCCCTGGCCCCCACATCAGAGGTCTGAATTGATTTCCTGTCTCCTTGGCCCAGCCCAACCATTGTGAGCACTTGAAGAATAAACGAACAGATGGAAGAGTCCTCTTGCTCACTCACTCTCACACTCTCTCTGGCCCTTTTGCCTCTCAAGTAGTTTTTTTAAAAAGGAATTAACATGGCTTCAAGCCAACCAGCGACCCATTTTGAGGACTTTCCTTCTTCACTATTCTCAATGACTGTTTTCTTGTGTGTCCATGGGGAATGAGATGATTCTCTTAAAGCTACAGCTGCAAAAAGCTCATCTTTCACATGAGGAAATGGAGCTTCAGAGAAGTTGAGTGGCTCACCTGTAGGAATTCAGCCACCAAGCACTTGAGCCGCCATTTCAAATCTCCCAGTGTAACCCTGCAGTGTCATCATTCGTCCACTTATGCATCCATACCACTCACATGTGTCAACAACCACCTACATAGAGCATCGTTGGATGCATCACTGTCTTGTATTGATGCCATTTCCTTTAGTATCCATTGCCGTATGTCTGTAAAGTACTTTGGAGTTTAAAAGGTGCTTTGGTCACCACGGCTCCATTGATCTCCTGATACCCTAGGGTATTGGAAGAACAAAAATATCAACCTACTTTTACCAGAGGCTCAAAATTATCACTAGATTTACTTGCTGTTGTACTAGTTTCAAGTCTAAAGCTGTGTGATAGGAACCTCTTTCATGTACACCCAGCTATTGCTCTTGAAAGGGTAGAATAAAACCAATAGCCTGAGACATTTAGGCTTCTCACCAAATCGTGCTTGACATCCACAGGGCTGGACAACCTCAGCAAAATCACAGCCCAAGGACATTATGAGCTCCGGGTGGACCTGCAAGACCATGGGGAGACAGCCTTTGCCGTCTATGACACATTCAGTGTGGGAGATGCTAAGACTCGCTACCGGCTGAAGGTGGAGGGTTACAGCGGGACAGCAGGTATGGTGTAGCTGTGCTCAGAACATCCCAAACCACAGAAACCTGACTGGCAGTGTCTACTGGGTCCTCTATTGCTTCCTTTGCTCATTTGATTGTTTATGTCATCAACAAAGACTTGAGTATCTACTAGCTGCTAATGCAGAAGAGCTTTAATTGAAAGGATTGGCACAGGTATATAAGAAAGAAACAGGGTCCTTAGGAGTTAACCATTCAGGATAAATTTTTAACTGCCTTCATTCAAAAACTAGGCCTTTTGTATCCACTTATGAGCATCAGCTCTTTACAGATGCAGGACCAGTCTTTTGAAGTCTTTAACATTCAGCTAATCTGGGACTTCTTGATTTATGTTAGGTATATGACCAATACGGAGTGGGCCTGGGATGTTACATTACTTGCAGGTCACCTGGTGCTTCTGGTGTTACACCTCTGTGAACTGTACTTTGAGTAGCAAGTAATCCACTTCATCATTCAACTACTTGAATCTCCTCTGAAACTTCCCTGCCATGTGGTCATCCAGCTCAGCCTGCAGACCCCATGGTCTGATGCACATTACCTCCTGAGTGACCCTTGTTCCTTGACTGGTTCACAATCCTAGATGAGGGTTTGAAGATTCCTTTGGCCTGAAACAGCATTTTTATGGTTTTCTGGTTCTATATTTGAAGAGAAAGAAATACAGAGATAATACTATTGGTTACAGGCCTACTGGGAAGCATCGTCTTTTGCAGGTAATTCATTTGCATCATCTTAGCATGTTCCTCATAAAAACCATTTCAGTAGCACGCTAGTGTTATGCAAACCAGGAAGCAGACTCAGAAAAGCTCCTTGACTTGCCCAAGGTGAACCGGCTCACAGGGGGCAGTGCAGGTGCCTGCAGAGATCTGTTGACAGCCGTGTTCTTGGCAACAAGGAGAAAACAATATTGAAAGTGGGGACCACCCCATGCAACCGATGCCAACTTTGGGTGGCTTTCTTTTATGTTTATAAAAGCAGAAGGGACAGATGCTGTGGCATGTTTCCAACCTCCCTGAGCCTTGAAAAAAAATAATAAAAGGAAAAATACCTGGATGAAGGCCATTGCCAAAAGCTAGGCTTCCATCTAAGCAGGCACAAAGTTCTATTGATATGGAAGTTCGGTTGTCATGAAGGAAATACCCAAGGGCAAATTGTGTCTTCTTTCTTGCATTATTCAAAAACTCTGATGTTTTATTACCTGATCATAAACACGTCTGTACCTGAGGTGACTTTAGGTGAGAAGGATATTGTTACACGGCAAGAAAATCTACCCAGCAGCAGGAATGTGGCCTCTGTCCACCTCTCTTTGTATTTCCAATAACGGAATGAGCTTTAATGTTTCCCATCAGTAAGATAACTCCTGTCTTTTCCTGTGTGTGCTGGTTACAGCCAGCCCTTCCACAAGACAACCTCCTGTATCCTCTCTGTCTACCAGACATTGCCTTGCTCATCAGTGAAGAAGGAGCCTGAATTCCTTTGGTAACTGTCTGTAGAATTCCTCAGCATCTTGAGTGTTTGGTGTACTTTGACTCCTGTAGGGAGTGAGGGGAGCTCAAAAGAAATGGGCATATTTAACTTAGTATATTAATGCAAACCAGATTCCCAAATGGTGTGCTATATAAGTGAGTTTGTTGTCTTTAAGAATAAGAACATGGGTCTGGTACATACTTCAAAGACATAACTGTTTGACAACATCTAATATTTGAAACGGTTCATTGTAAGTAGAGCTGGAAATACTTATACGTAGGAGGAAAGTGTTATTAAATGCAGAGCTCTCACCTTATTCTCTGAGAGCTTTCTATATAAGAGGAATGAAAGAAAATCACAAAATAACTAACATTAAATAACTATTTGCATTCCACTCTCCCCTGCTTAGAGTTCACTTTTATGTCCAGTGTCATGACAGCACTGCCATACTGAGGTAGATGGAATCTGTATGCCTGTTCCTTTTTATAGGTATGAGAACTTTGAGCCAACTATAGGCTTGACTTGTTCAAGGTCACAACCAGCAAGTAACAGCTGGGACTGGAAGCTGAGCCCACCTGCAACCACCTGTACACTTTTTTTTTCTATCACCCGTCCTGAAGGTGATACTCATTCCTTGTCCCATTCTGTATTCAATCCCAATTCTGGGTCCAGTGTGTAAAGACCTCACTGTTGTCACCTGTGACTCTGCCCTTCCTTCACAACCTTGAAGGAGACTTCCATTTGGGATTCCTCAGAACCATGCCTCCTCTCTCTCCTAGGTGACTCCATGGCATACCACAATGGCAGGTCCTTCTCCACTTACGACAAGGACACAGACTCGGCCATCACCAACTGTGCCCTGTCCTACAAAGGGGCTTTCTGGTATAAGAACTGTCACCGTGTCAACCTGATGGGCACATATGGAGACAATAACCACAGTCAGGTAAGAGGACTGTGAGGGTCCAGGGCTGGCAATGGTTGGGGAGCAGTTGGAGAAATGAGAGGGCAACCCAGCCCCTCCCTCCTGGCTGGCATAGGAGGCAGCATCTAGCACAAGGTGCTTAGCACACTGAAGAATGGGCAAAGGAGAATAGTGCCTGCTAAGCTTTGCATATCCCTGGAAGAATCTTTGGTCAGATACACCGCAAAATCAGAAAGCTTTTTTCCAGCAAAATCTCTGTCTAAACCCCAAAGCAGGCCACTTAGCTAAAGCAGTGATGTTGCATAACCTGGGGGTGTCCTGGCCCAGATCTGCCATCAGAACCCCAAGATTTCCTTAAAATGAAGTCCACATACCTTTTGAAGGCACTGAGACCTGTGGAACAATAACATTGCTGAAGTCCCAGAGTGAAACTGGAAGTCAAACAAGGTCTTACCTTCTGCCCAATCCTATTGTAAGCTACACACATTCCTTTCTGACTACCTTACCTACCTCACAGAGGCAGATTTTTAATTCCCTTTAGAAAGATAGGAGAGAAAAAGCAAATCCTATAACCCATTGTCTGCTGAGCTCTGCCTGCCCTAGCAAGGACCAGAAAAAGAAGCAGAGTCAAGTGGGAACAGCTACTTTGTCATGACTAAGACCCTGTTCTTGTCCTATCTCGGAGGCTCATCCCACCCCAGAGAGAAGGCTAGAGGCCCTCATGTGCCATACTGATCCCTGATCCTCAAGGATTCTTCCCCTGCACTCCTCAGGATCCCAAGGGGCTTTGTAAAAATGCAAAGAGGCAATTCGACCCGACATCCCCAGAGTTTCCCACCCTGCACTCAGCTGGGTGCAGCAGCTCTCTTCTTGATTGTATTTTCTGTTTCATTGTGGTTTGTGTGAGGTTTTTCCGCCAGGCTCCAGGGATGACTCCTTACTTGCAGCGGATGTTAGAAAGTGCTGCTCCCTGTTTCCTGTCATTCTGAGAGTTGTGTTGCCATGAGTCGACTGCTAGCAAGTGACACCTGTGACCTGCAATGCAGGCCTGGCTGATTCTTTTCAACACATGCTCATCTGCTCTGTCTTATATGTCTTTTCACCACATGAGAGAATCATCACAAGGCTTTCCATGCTCAGGTGACAGAGAAGACAAGAGGCATCTCTTAAAACCAGCCCAATGGTCTTTGCATCATCTTTAGTTGCCTCAGTAATATTTTCTCTGGAAGGTTAGTCTGTTTATTTTGCCCTGTCCCCCCTGACACCAATAGAACCTAAAGGCCTTCAAAAGCAAGTGCAAGAGCTACATGTCAGCAAGGAACTTTTCTCCCATCCTTTCATATAATTTCAGAGGGAAAGAATGATGCAGAAGGTCACGCAGGAGTCACAGGAGCTTGGTACCAGCCTGGGCTCTGCTCAGGATGCTGTGTGTCTTCTGTAGAGCATCTTTCCCTCTCTGCCTTCAATCTCCATCCCACTATAAGGCTGCTTTTTCTTACAGGGTGTTAACTGGTTCCATTGGAAAGGCCACGAATACTCCATCCAGTTTGCTGAGATGAAGCTAAGACCCAGCAACTTCAGAAATCTGGAAGGAAGGCGCAAACGGGCATGAATTCCAGGGACGACTGTGTGAGGAGTAGAGCCCAGAGAATGGAAAGAAGTTTACCAAAGCATCAGTACCACCAGTCCAACCAGCAAGTCACAGCTGGGCCTTTGGCAAGGGTCTGAGCTGCCAATAGAATGCCGATGCACTGGTCTGAGCCACTCCGCGATCCCTTCCTCGGCACCAAAGACCGCAGTCTCCAGTAGCTTTCTGTTTTGTTGTTGGATTCAGCAATCCCTCCAGTGGACAACACGATGGTTTTTCCTTCTCTCGGGTGGCTCTGGGAATGGGAAAGGGGTGGGTTGTACAGTGGTAGTTTGTTTTAGAACCAGTTGTATTTTCCACAAAGCTGTATAGTTAATTATCATTATTTTTATTAGCAAACATTACATGTGTGTCATTGGAAGCTGTCGTCCCTCCTGATGCCCTTCTTTTTTTACATTTCATACAACAGAAACCAGAAAAGCAATACTGTTTTGATTCCAAGGATATAATTGATATTGTTCATATAATAATGATACAGAATAAGGGTTTTTAAATCTTCCTCTCCAAACCACATCCGGACAGTACCTGATTGTATTTTTTTTAAAATAAAAGCACAAGTACTTTTGAATGTGGCTGTTATTTTGTTTTTCTCAATTCCACTGAAGTCAATGCATCTGAATAAAAGCAGTCATGCTAGAGAGGTGTGGCGAGGAGTGGGGAAGAAGCACAGGGGAGACCGTAGGCTGGAAGAGAATATAGCATTTGCCATGTAAAGGTTGGGGAACACCCATGATTTAACACGACCTCTTGCTCGGCATTCATGAGAATAATGATATGTTTTAAAAGGTGTTTTCAGGGGACGAGGTTTGACACAGCTGTTAAAATGCCCCCTGCGATACCCACATCCCACACGGGAGCCACATGCTTCTTATTCCAGCTTCCTGATAATGAACAGTCTTGGGGGGCAGTGTGTGATGGCTCAATGAGTTGAGTTCCTGAGGTGGGAGACCCAGATTGAATTCCTGGCTCCCGGCTTAAGCTTGGATCAACCCTCGCTGTGACAAGCATTTGGAAAGTGAGTTAATGAAAGAAAGATTCAGTCTCCTCTCTTTCTCCTTTCAAATGAACAAAAATAAATAAATAATGTTTGCAACAAAATAAAAGATGCTTTCAGATGTGTTTTCTGATGCAACCTCTTTGAAACACTAAGTACTACCATGCAACAGTTAAAATCCCAGAGGCAGACTGACTGGGTTAAAATCTTTTTTTCTTTTTAATTTTTTTAAGATTGATTTTTATTTTTATTGGAAAGGTAGATTTTACAGAGAGGACAAACAGATCTTCCATCTGCTGGTTCACTCCCCAAATGGTTACAAGAGCCAGGGCTGAGCCGATCCAAACCCAGGAGCACAGAGCCCCTTCCAGGTTTCCCACATGTGGGCAGGGTCCTAAGGCTTTGGGTCATCCTCTACTTCTTTCCCAGGCCACAAGAAGGGAGATAGCTGGATGGGTCATGGAGCAGCTGGAACACAAACTGGCGGCCATATGACAGCACTTGTGAGGGGAGGATTAGCCAGTTAAGCCATTGTGCCAGACCCTGGGTTCAAACCTTGAAGCCACCCTTTCCAACTCTGCAATCTCTCATGCCTTGATTTCCTTTTCGGATAGTCACACTTACTCTTTTCACTAAAGAATAAAATGTGCCATTCATACAAGGCCTTTAGCATGCCACTACACATAAATTAAGCCTAAACTAAGACTTGGCTCTTACTAACATCCTATCATACAGTATGGACTGGGATTCATAGAAATACATCAAGTTGGCTATGGCTGCTTGCCTGAATAATAGGAAAACAGAGATTTATTCCCAGGCTTCCTGGCTGCAATGTTCCTGCTGCTCCAGGCCCCTGATGAAGATCACTACTTCTCTTAGAAATGTTGGCATGGCCAGAGTGCAGTTTGCATCTTGAAGTCTGTAAAGGCGAGTTCACCAGGATCTCTTGTGTAGCTCTCTATAATCCTCAATTCTTAGAAATAATGTCTGTTAGAAATACGTGTTACCCTTTACACCAAATTTCCCCAACGGGGAGAGAGAGAGCCCAGGGTTCTGCAGACTCCACACACAAATGACAGGTGACTCATTGCCTCCCAGCAGATCAGCTGGTCCCCAGCAAATAGGGTGAGGCAGGACCCCCCAGGGCATGACATCTTGGAGAACAAACCCCCAATTTATTCTCTTAGCCTTTCCATAAATTGACTAATTTAACAGAAACATTTGTGCTGACAAACCTCACTCAAATGGAATGTTTGGGCTCCGAAGTGGAAATCGGAGGAATCTACAGCTCCAGCCAGATCCGTCACTGTGGAGTTTATCTTGCTTTAATAAATGTTGTCTTGTTATGTACACAATTCCCTGTTCCAGATCATGAGACCTGTTGCTTGCAGTTCAGCCATAGCAACACTGTCCTGGCTGCTTAAACCCAAACAAATGTCCCCCAACCCCCCGGAGGAACCAAGGCTACAGTGGGAGAATTAACTCTGTAGGGATTGTAGACTTGGGGGTCCTCAGCCTGATTCTCACTGACCCCCAGAAAAGTAGACATCCAGGCTGCCAACAAACACCCCAAGATTCTGGCTGGTGACAAAACCTTATTGAGCAGAGGGTGGCAGATGACTTCAAATGAATACTCAGGAGTCTGACTCCATGGCATTCAAAGCTCTCCCATTACACTGAAATTAAGAGCTCACCAGTTCTCAAACTCAGCTTCCATCCTAGATTCCCTGGCTTGTCAGGACTAACTCCTTCACCCAGAAATCCCTCTTTAAATTCCATGCCACTCTACAGACCCAGGTCGGACCCCATGAGGCAGGCAAGCTGTCTCCACTGAAACATCATTGCAGGGACCAGGGATGAGCGGTTTCCCCTCTGCCTCTATCCCTATCTGCTGCCCGCACCTGCAAGCCCTGTACCCTTCAAGGCCATACCCTTTGACTTATCTCAATGCCCCCTCAGAGCTCCAGTTAGTTCAGAAAGTGGGGACATTGAACTGGAGAAATGGGCTTTGGATGGGAGTTGGGCATGTACTTTGCCACCATTTCCACAGCATCACTGTGAGTAGAAGGCATCCCCCAGAAGAGGGCGCACTGTGATGGCCAATTGTATGTCTCTCCATGTCATCCTCTCTTCTAGTTTCAGATAATGGCTTCTCCCACCTTGTCTCCCTTCAGACTCAGCCATGGCCTCTGCACCCCAGCTGTTGCTAGTTATGAAAAGCTCTGCCAGCCCTCGTGTCTCCGCCACATTGCCCACACCTCAGAGAAGAGTCCCTTTACTTATATTCTTCTTACAGACTCTTACAAACTCGTGCTTTCTTGCTCTGCTTGGGCACTGGGTGCCACAATTGTAACTGCCGGCTTGCCTTGTCCATTCTCTCTATTCCAGGCCTCTCTCCTGGTGGTGGTCTTTGGCATCGAGTGACTTTCCAGAGTGTAAAGTTGTTTCTACTTTGGGAGAATTTCCCATTGGTTGAGTTTCTTGCTTCCCAATCTGGAAGCCATGGGGAAGATCCTTTTGCCTCCTTCCTTGGCAACCAGGATGCTAACTTGGGCTTCACCAGTTGAGTACCCACAGAGGAACTTGTAACTTTGAGCAAGGAATGCAAAGCAAAGCATCCGCAAGCCTGGCTTGCCCATGGCCTTGAGCCACGAGCTATGCATCATGGGTTCTGATACCAGCATTTGGGGCAAGGAATACCAGTATCATTCTCTTGGCGGCAACCATTTTCACCAGGGACAAAGGTACTCCAGCTGATGAGCCCTGTTACCTAATACCCTTAGATGCCTGAAAAATTTCTAAGCCTTATCTCTGACTTCCTCCAAATTTCATGGCTCCCCAATATCTTTCCAGAAAACCCCCTTTCTGCTCAGGTAGTTCCAGGGGATTTCTGATGCTTGCAGCCAAATGCTTTGACTGGCATTCTCTTTGCCCGGACCACACGCCCTTCACACGTATTGATTCTCCCGCATGCCTGGCACTGGGCGTGGCACTTGCAAAACATGAGGTCATCTCAGCAACACTGTAACCTATCAGACCAGTTCAGTTATCATCTATTTCACACAGGGAGCTGCGCCTCAGAAAGCTCAGGTGACTTGTCCATTACCACACATCTGTGTTCAGATCCAGATCAAAGCCAAGTTGCCTGATTCTAGAATTCAAGTTTGTTTCATTTTCATTTTATTTCTTTATTTCAGTGGCAGAAATACTGAGAAACAGAGAACCCCCATCCACTTATCCACTTCCCGAATTCCTGCAACAGCCAGGGTAGGGCCAAGCTGAAGCCAGTGGACAGGAACTTAATTCGGATCTCCTCCATGGGTGGCAAGAACCCAAGAACTATTGCTATGCCGGTTCCATGCTAGCAGGAACCTGGGAGTGGAAATGGAGGCAAGATGAAATCCAGACACTCTCCTAAAGAACGTGGCTCTTAATTGCTAGGTTATATGCCCGTCTCCAAACCCAAGTTCTTTACCATGGGGCCATCTTCCTCACTTCAGCACACCATCCTCAATAGAGGACAGCACTTCACTCACATAGCAAGTGCTTGCTCAACACCTTTCACATGGAACAGATTCAACCGAAACAAAGAAAAAACAACCTCCACCATGGCGAAACTTTTGTTCTAACAAGGAGCAACAAGCAATGGACAAAAAGTGGATTAAACTACCTGCTGAAAGTTGCAAGGTGCTGTTGACAAAGGGAAAGAGTAGTTCAGGAGAAGGGACTGGCGGGCCAGAGCAGGTGGTGGAGGAGGACGTGATGAAGACATCTATATTAGCTGCATTGAATAAGTGATCGATGTTTTCATATAGATGGAGAAACATCAGTCTGGGCAAGAACTGGGGTTCCCCAGAAACCACAACACTTCAGCAGTAGATTATGACAAGATGTTAGGTCACCTTGCTCCTCCTCTAATGAATCCTGACTGGCTGTGCTCCAAAGGAAGTGAAACATGACAGGCTTTCCCTTCCTAAGCCTCTGAGCCTCCTGAGTTCCAGCCCAGTGTTCTGGGACTTCCACCCTACCTCCTTGCCCTTCTTTTCAGCTAGACCCACCCAGCTCTTCTCCACCCCATCATACATGGCCTAACTCCAAAGGATCTGGAGAATTCCCGGTATGCTATGTTGAATGGGCTTCCCCCAAGGTTCTCATTTCTCCGTTCCTTTAAACATCAATATTGAGCAGCCCATCTATCCTGCCACACACACCTTCCACCCAGGACACCGGGAGCAAAACAACTGCAGCTCTGCCTTAGAACGGCATCTAGTTGAGGAAGAAATGGAGGACAGCCATGGGATTACCCAGCAGGTGGGTAAGGTGAAAGCAAAGGCAAGGTGCGGTGAGGAATTTAGGAGGAGACCCAATGTGTGAAGGTGTGCCTGCAGAAGGGGCATTTGCACTGAGACCTGGAGGACAGGCACGAAGGTGCCAGGTGTAGGAAATCGGGGAGGTGGAAAGCAGAGGGCAGAGCATCTCTGCTGAAATGACCAGTCTGTGCTGAGCAAAAGAGACACATGGGGTGGCAGCTCACCCTGGAAGATGAGGCTGCTGTGGCAGCAGAACTTTTC